CAGAAGCATTGTTGCCCGAATTCATGATACAGTGGAGCAAAGGAATCTAACATGCTATGTGAATCCCTTCAAGGGACCAAAGAAACTAGGAAAAGAACATCTATGGGGGAAATTGAAATTAAAGAACAACCTTAATACAGATGGATGTAGTGCTGGTTCGTCCCATACTGCCATCACATACCAAGAAGTAGGCAGTTCTGCGGTTGAACAGAAAAATGAACTAGATTTAAAGCTGTGGAAAGTGCGGGAAAATCGTATACAGCAAATTCTCTCAACACCTCATACTGAACATTGTCCGTTATATTCTTACTCTAGATGCAGGACATTAGGCATTGATTTCAATGTAGGATCTGGAGAAAAACTAAACCTTGACCCAAAATCACTGACCAATGGCATCATGGTTGAATTGAATACGTTTGCCACAGCACTGATATCAGACCAAAAGCACTTCGTCACAGAGATATTGGAGTATAATTTTCCTCTTGATTTAAAAAATGAACTGTATCGCGAGGCCTTTAAAGAGCAAATATGGACAAACATAAGGGCCCAAGTAATTGGGATGAAAATGTACTCTGTGAATAAGCCTTTTGAACTGCCTGACTTGATATGCCTAAAAAATCCTACAAAATATTGCCCCAAATGCTTTCAAGAAAGAAGTCATAAGACTTGTCAGGTTGACTCTGACCCTAGTCACATGCATCATCCACCTACACATACCATGGCGGACGCTGTCTCTGGGGATGCAAACTGCACAGCACCAAAGCCTGAAAAGGTTCAGTCCTCTTCCTTCTCTGCAATAGAGGAGATGATAGTGGAATACTTTCCTGCTTGCAAGAACACAGGTTTGAACCTGTTTGTTGACAAAGACCAAGCAAGAGATAAACTTGACACCAATGTACTGACTCGCAAAATTATGTTGGAAGTGGTTGGTTTTGCCAGATCATTGTGTGGAACAAAGGGTGACATCATTGGTGATATCCTTGAACACAACTTTAACATTGACTTGCAGGGGACAAGTCCTGCAAGTTTGTTCTACTCTTTAGCCCCAAAGAAAGTTGGGCCTGACTGGTTTAATGAGGTCTTTGAAATTCCATTTCAGTCTTCTCAGAGACAACTTCCAACTTGCAAATCGACTCGGCGAGATCGGATTCAGGATGCTGGATGGAGGGAGGTTCGTGAAAAAAGAAAGCTGGCACTGCAAACAAAGAAGGAAAAAGACACAATGACAAGTGATAATCCTTATAAGATACAATACAATAGAAAAAAACAAAAAACGATGCGTTGCAGTCAGGTGATCTGCTATCCCAATTGCACGGAGATAGGTTTGGATTTGGATGTAACAAAATCCGGAGAGAAAGAAAAACTGCACTTGAGGCTATTGACCCAAGCTGTAGTGTCGGAGATAAATAAATATACACAAACAAATAGAGGACACTATTTGCCAAGCACTTGGTATGACATCCTTGACTATAACTTTGATATTAGCTCCCAACACAGAAGAAGCTGGGAGTTTTCAATAGCTGTAACGACCAAAGTCCAAGCCATGCTCAGAGGTTATGACAGATACAGTAAGGTAAACAAGATCTTCAAATTGCCATTTTTATTTGCTTCACAAAGTCATCTAGAGAAGAGCCAAAATAAGCAATGTCGGCTCTTTGGTCGTTGTGTGCGCCAAGTGAAATACCATTCAGGTGTTAGTTGTGTCCATTTTCTCGAAGGCTACAAAACAAAAGATTGGATCCTTCGTGATGGCACAAAGGTACAAAGCGATCCTAGGAAGATTGTCCAAAACAATGGGAACCAAGTGGGTGATGGTTGTGGCAGTCCTCTCCAAGGAAACTTGCAAATCAAAGAGGAGGATTGGCATCCATGTTATGGAAATATAAAACCAGAACCGGACTCAGAGGAAAAATATTGTCCTCTTCATGATGATGTCAAAACGGAGTCAAACCCTGAGGACGTTGTGCATTTTGTCCCAGGTGAACCTACAGGAGCCTTTGGATATACGTTAATGACTGCATTGCCAGATTCTGAAAGACAGAAAACAGAACCAGAAAATGAGAATGTCCAGTATTACATCCTGGGTGCACCACAAGGGTCCGTTACACATCCGAACACAGCTTTTAACTTAAATACAGAATGGGAGTTTGAAAATGTTGAGTATTCAGTCCCAGTGGAAACAGAAGAATCCCAGGAATACTCCATGGTTATAATAGGTCATGGCAATGAGAGCACATTAATCAAAGAAGAGGAAGATAATGTGCCTGTTGACTTATACCATTATGGTGGTCAATGAAAGTGAACCAAGTATCTATCAGGGTTAACATAAGTGGTATGTGTGTTTTTCATTACAAATGCCATTAGCTGCCTTATTGTAATTCAAATGTTTTAATTGTTGGTGTAGAATGAACTTGATGATCTTGCAGTAATGTGTTGCTGTAATGTATACTTTAAATATCGCAATGTAAATACAAAGACTCAAAGTGTCCACAAATATTGATGTATGATTAAAGTGTTTAAATGCGGCTATTACATATTATATGTTGAAGCATGAACAATTGTTCTTTATTTTTATTTATTTTTCTGCCAGTGGCCCACTTTTGGTAATTTCCAAATGTGTAAAAATGTGAACTTGGATATCCTGACGCTTAACTTTACTTGGCGGAAAGAATATTATTGTGCTTTATTCTTAAACATTCTAGTCTTGTTTTCCTTCATTTGGGCATTTTGTTCATATGTCCATATTTCTTGTTTCTATTTTTATGTTTTCTCTATTTTTCAAAAATATTTGATTAGTGACATTTTCAAGATTTTGTATAATTACTTTTTTAGTGGTGGTGTACATTGGTGAAGATGAGTGTTAGTACTGAATAAATCTGCTAATACAACGACAATATAGAAAGTAAAAAATACCTGTATCTTTATGGATTAGTTTGTTTTTCATTTTGATTTCACCACACATGTTTGATATAAAGAATGTTCATGTATCCCATCTACTTCTTTGTTCTTTTCAAATCCAATGAACATGTACTATATAGGATAGGTTTATGACTTATTTGCTTAGTGTCAATTTATCTGATCTTTCATATTTGAGCATCACTGCTTTTAAGAGTATTTAACACACAATGACTTATTTTACGTTAATACACGTTTTAGGTTGAGTGAGGTTCTGACAGTTAACTTGTTGATGCAAAACATAAAATAGGCTGAAGCTGGTGCCCTACACCAGCAGCATTCTTTTAGTTTCCTTTAGGGGCAGCAAAGGCCTTCCACACTCTACACAGCTTATAAACCAGAACGATGCTACTAACTACAGATATCTGCATCTCATTCCATTGGATTCACTCATCACATAGGCCAAATGGGGAAAAAAGGAAATGATGGAAAGGGTCTGTTTACAACATATTGTACAACTTTAGCCAAAGCCATTTTAAAACACTTTGCATATCAGTAATACGTGTGAATAAAGCACAAACAATGTTTAACAGTCATTTTTCTTTGATGAAGACTGACCATTGAAATGATCTTCAAACAGCCGGAACACTGAGGTCAAGGGGTTGTGCCTTCAAAGTCGTTAATTGTTACTTGGTACTGACAAATGATTAGATGAGATGATTGTGACAGTAGTTGGTCAGAAATAACAGCAGTCATATCAGTATGACCCGCTGTGCTGAAACTGTTTGAATCTGGCGTATGTTTATGTAACCGATGTAATTATCTTCTGTGATTCAAGAACAATGTATACCTCGTTTAAAAGGATTTTTCAATATATAATCTAGCAATGATAATGTATAATATATACACTCATTTGCAAGCATTCAATCAAACATGCTTAAATAAACTACAGATGACATATTTATTTTTTTAAGTCTGTCCAGGAGAGGTAGAGCTTTTAGATCTTGTCCCGTACACAACCATCTAAAATGGTCAAGATAAAGATGAATATATTAATGGCATAAATGGAGAGAGATGGATTACCAATTATTAAACAATTAGTGTTTATCACCTTTTTTGGTTTTAAAAAAATAACTTTTACTCCAATAACGTTTACTTGAAAAATGTAGATAGTTATACTTTGGTAAAGTATGTAATTGAATCCCAGGTGTATTTTTTCAACTTAAAGATGAAAGAAAGTAAAAACCTAATCTCACCGGTTTCATCTCTTAGGGTTTTTTGTTGTTGTTTAAATGTTCCTGTATTTAAAATATTGTATTAGTTTTAACATAAAGAACATACAATGCCATAAACAGCCAATATGCAGAGGGAAACATATAACATTGAATAGTGATGCAGAGGTGGAAGAAGTACTCAGATCTTGTACTTTAGTTAAAGTAGAAGTAGGAGTGTAGGAATACTCTGTTACAAGTAAAAGTTCTGCATTCAAAATGTTACTCAAGTAAAAATATTGGCATAAAAATATTAAAGTACCAAAAGTAAAAGTACTTATTATGCAAATTGTCCATTTCCGAATCATATTATATCATATGTTTCTATTATAATTATTGATGCATTCAAGTGTAATCAAAGCTGGCAAAGGGGCAGCTAGTTTTAATCACTTTGTACACTGCAGGGTAGTTTGTGAATTTACTTCAGGTGAAACTAAAGTCTTGTTTAAGTGCTGATTATATTTCACATAATTAATCTAAATCTAAATAGTAACTAAAGGTTCAAAATAAATGTATGGGAGGAAAATTACATGATTTCCCTCTGAATTCTACTGGAGTAGAACAAAGTAGCATCAACTGGAAATATTTATGTAAAGTACAAGTATTTCAAAAGTGTACTTAAGTACAGTACTTGAGTAAATGTACTTAGTGACTTCCCACCTCTGCGTATACGTTTTTTATTGTTTGTTGTTACATGCGTTTATCAAAACATGAAGACTGCCATATGAGGAGCGACAAGGGGTTTTATTGTGAAAATCACATCCGGAAGTCTGAAACATAACACTGTGTGGATCTGGTGTGGATTGAATCTTGAGACACCCATTTCAAGTCCACCCCGCCCCGGCTGCTGGATCAGTTCCTCCCTCTCCTGCAGCCAGATTTACCAGCCTGGATGCCGGATCACCGCAGATATTCTACCGCAACAGGTAAATCACCAGGAACCAGGAGAGGATAACATGTAGCTCACACTGGACACTATCGCTGTTGACCTTGCTTTCCCCTCACCTTTTCTGGGAAGGTAAGTTGGATGTCCTGCTTTATTAAACACAAAATGTAAAAGGCGAGGCAGTGTAACGTATTGACAATGTGGTTTAAAAATGTAGCCAAAATTAGAATTTTAAAGATTGCACACACTGAAATAATCCTGACACATTTAACTAAACCCTGAGTGATAGCCTTTTGTTTGCATCTTGAAGAAAACACCATATGGGGGAAAAAAAGACGTGTATATATATTTCTCTTAATATGCTCAAATGCATTTCTACAGTTTAACAATATTCAATGATAATTAAACATTAAAGGGCAAAAAGGGCTATCTACTGCAAATTGCCTCTTGTCAATATTATACATTGCCAGTGACACTATCAAGTGAGTATGTGATGTGATGAATGCTTTTTTTTTTAGTCCAGGATATTACTGAATCTCCCCATAGAGGAGACTTTAAAGCATTTAAAATGTAAAGGACTTATCAGATGTTTGCATTGTTTAACATAATTTCAGTTTTCTATTGGTCCATAATGTGATTTGGGCAAGTTTAGCTTATCCATGCTCATTCACTGCAGTATATAGACTAATTATAGAGATTGCTTTGTGTGTCCTGCTGCTCTCAGTGAAAACAGAAAGAGGAGGTTTGTCTTTGCTGAAGTGGGCAAAGTCCATTTAAACTGCAGTTCCCGATGACATCTGGCCTTATCCCAGCAGGGACTCTCGCACATCCACCTGCCATGAAACAAAGCATTGCATAACACACACACGCACACACAGACACACACACATACAGATGTAAACACGAACAACCATTATTCACTGTTGTGTTGAAAGTGGCTTGACGACTTTATGGGCCCAGTCTCATGTGACAGCCAAAGTGTTAATTATGCATTATACGTCCAAATCCAGATAGACATGTTGTGCCATAGGTACATAGGTAAGAAGCTGAGGCAGGCCATGCCAGTGAGTGTGTGTTTGAAGTGTTAAGGAAGTAAAGAAGCTTTGGTGAATCATTGCTCCAGCTGACCCATAAATGTATCAAAGGGGATAAATATAATTCTTCTGGTGGAAGCGTCCCCGATTTTCACCTGCAGCACAGCTGAGGAAGGTGTGTGTGTGGCTGTCTGTGTGTTTCTGTGCTCTTGTGAGGCATAAAATACAAACACACACACACAGGCTTCTTTCTTCATCAGGCTCAGCTAAGCTTCCTGGGCTGTGTCTGCTAGAACAGGGTCCCCCTCTGTTTGAGGAGTGTGTGTCAGACACACTTGTGCACACACAGGCTGAAGCATTGATACGCACATCCGAGCGGGCCAGTGTGGCGCACACAGGTGTCAATCAGCATGCAGCGCTGAGTCAAAGGTTCTTTGATTCAATTTCTCCCTCAGTGCAGTTTGTCAGCAAACCGCTGGCCCTTCAAGTGACTCATAATGTTCCCCTAATCACAAACTTTCAAAGTGCTACATGTGATATTCGAAACATGAATGTACCATCAATTATAGAGGAAGAAAGATATCTGGGCTTTTGGTACTGCATCGCAAAGGAAGTACTATTTTCAGCCTCATTTAGAATTCACATTATAACAACAATCAACAAGCGATGAGTTTAAACTGTCAATGTTTAACCATTGAATAGAATGTTGACAAAAATAATCCTAACCCCATGTTGTTTTTTCATTCATTTTGAGATAGTACTCTTGCCATCACATGCATGACCAGATTACCCTGTTGGGGGGCTCGAGGGCAGACATTTGGTGTGGACCCCTATTGGCAGCCCACCCACAATGCATTGTCACCTTCAAGTTCTCAGTCGCACACAGCAGAGTACCCACGGTACTCCTGTTACTGCGTAGGCAAGGCTGCAGCAATTCTCAGATCATTAAACTTCAGTCTGGGTTCTTGTCATTTGTTATTATTAACCAATCCTTCAAATGCATGGAACTTTATTCATGAATTCAGGTTAAAAGGTCCATAAAAAGTCACTGGACCTTGAATCAGGACTATGTTTTTGTAAATAAAATGATGGTTGAGATTATTCCACCATAAATAATTCCAAGAAACTGTTCCTGTGTCAATAGAGTTATGGAAATGTTCACAGGCTAAGTAACATAAGTCCAAATACATGAACACATGGATGTGTTTGTTTTTCCAGTTATGAACAAATAGGATGCTTTCGTGCATATTTGTTCAAAAAGGTTTGTTCCGATGTTTGCCAGGAACGGCATGTTTTGAAGCAACTAATATGTGAGCAATTGATTTTTAAGGTAGGCCTAAATCAAATAAAAAATGCATTCAGAATTGCTCAAGTCTTTTGAAACACTGGGGGTATTTAGGAGCAAATTGAAACATTTTACTGTGCGCTTCTGAGGAAGGTGTTATCGGTGCTGGTAGTAGTGGGTGGCTCTTCGCCTCGTGTTTATTCTGTGATGTTTTATCCAGGATGTGTCCTGTTTGAACAGGGTAGCTTCTCTAATGTAGCCAAAGGCAGATACTGTCTTTGTATTTTAAACCTGCATGCACCTCAGGGTACAAAAGTGTTTGTGTGTGAGGGCGGATTAGAGTCTGCTAAATACCTTCATACGTTGTGTGTTTACATAAGGGAGTGTAAGGCGCACACATAATTATTTACAGAAAGGTACAACCACAGCTCAGGGACCTATTAGAATCATTTTATAAAGTTTGACTAATAATGAATATTCTTGGTCGCTTTAATATATTACAAACAATGAGTTACTACTATAACAAAGTTACTACTATAACAAAGCTTCATTTGGGCTCTTTGGAGGTATTTCTTCAGGGGTTATAGTATCAATCAATGTCTATTTATATAGCCCAATATCACAAATGTTACATTTGTCTCAGAGGTCTTCACAGTTTGTACAGAATATCAGTATGACAATACGACACCCTCTGTCCTTAGACCCTCACATCGTACAAGGGAAAACTTCGTAGGCGGAAATGTCTCAGGATGATGAAAGTATTGTGTAAAGCTGGTTGCACCAGCTCTAATATTCAAGCTTAGACTCTTTGCAACCTTAATGTTCAATCATAATATATCTTTATGCATCATTTAATTGAAAAAGTGATTAGGCTACTTATTTTAAGATATACTTTTTTGATACAAATGTAAACAAAGTAACTACCAGGTCTGACTGTTGCACAGTCAGCTCTCAGTGAGCTCACAGTGAGCTCTCTGACAAAGCTAACATTAGCTTCCTGTCGTTAGTTTTTTACAAATTACCCATTAAGAGTGAAAGAGATCATAAAGGATATCTTTGGACTAATATGACCTGACACTTAATCAAATTTGTTGATTAAAAATGTATTTAAAGTTCACAAAATATCACATCTCTGAAATTGCATGTTCTAGTGATATTAGCTTTGGTTAGCCACACAACATCTATTAATGCTAGCTAGTATTTACTCTGAACTATGGTTGGATAGAGTGTCTGAAATGCCAATTTACAATGCAGTGATAAATAAACATGACTTCTCACACAGAGAACTGTTATTATGATTGAAAACATGTTCACCATAACAACAGTGTGTGTTAGCTTGCACGCATGCACTAGCCTATCTATACAAGCGTATGCACAGACACACGACACTGTGAGCAGTTCATTGCTCTTAAGTAATTGGCAGTGTTGGCATGTACAGAGAATGATTTATACTACAACAACCAGTCTCCCGCTCTAGGAATTCACACGAAAAGAGTGAAACCAATGATGGAGGAGTATTGTAACCAGAGCAGAAGGAGAGAAAAGGGAAAATGGGCGGGAGTCATATAAGAGCGGATGCGAGTGAGGGATAAATAAAAAATAGGGGAGCTGAAATGGAAAAGATAAAGTGGAGAGTGAGGTGAGGTAAAAAAAGAAATACAATGATTTGGAGAAAGCAGCGGAGAGGAGATTGCTTCGAACTGACGGGAATCACAGCTTAGGAGAAACCATGCTTGTTAGCTAGATGGATGGAAGCAGAGGAAATAAAAGGGCAGGTCTGACTGGAGGTGCTAATAGAATCTGAAGAACAGGATTGAAAGAGTTGCTACATTGATGGAATAAGAAACGGCAGCATCAGGAAACTCAGCTTGGGGTTAAAACAGAGGGAAACTACCTCTATAAAGTAGTGAGCATTTTCCATTTAAAGCTGTAGGAAACAGGAATGATCAAAAACATGGGGAGTTTATTGCCATAGCAATTCCGACTACAAGGCAAAGAAAGAGGAAATATTGCACTAAAATCAGAATGGACAGGACTCAAAAGACTACATGGAACTCAGAGGAGGCGTTTTATTTGTCAGGGTTGCTGTTGTGAAAAAATAAAACAAAGCCCATACACACAGAGCTCGTTTTCCAATTTAGGAGGTTTACCTGCATGGCCTCATCTGTCCTCTCTACCTCCAGGGACTCTGCCAGAGATCCCTCAGAGAAATCTCCTCAGGTGGGCTGGTGACAACAGTGGATGCAGACTGCAGTCAATACACTCATAGGAAATGATTTATTGTGTGGCGTGTGCAGTGCAGATACATTGTGGGCAAGCTCTTCTCATTTTTATTAAAACAAATGTGTCCAATAATAAATGTTTTTATTCTAATCAGTTCCTTATAAGTCAAACATTCATATATCACCAATACAAATACAATATTTGTATTCTTGTTGAGAACAATGTTTGTATTCTTATGAATATTACATACCATTTATATGTCTGGCAGTGGCTAAGTCGGTAGGGGCTTGGACTGTGAGCCGTAGGGTCGCCGGTTCAAGTCCCCGACTTGAATGTGGTCTGCTACTTGGAGAGGTCCCAGTTCACCTCCTGCCCTGCCGTGGTGCCCTTGAGCAAGGCACCGGACATCCCCCTTCCCCCCTCACTCCCATTGCTCCCCGGGCGATGTACAATAGCTGCCCACTGCTCCCAGTACTAGACTCCTGGTACTAGGATGGGTTAAAAGCAGAGAACAAATGTCGCTGTGTGCTCTGCATGTGTGACAATTAAAGAGTGTTTCATCCCTCTGATTCTATTCTATTATCTATTCTATGTTCCTGAGATAAATATGACCTATTAATAAGGCAAATATTAATGTTATATTATTAGAAATGCAAGACAAATCTGTATATTCCTGATAAAAGCTATTTATATGAATCCTACAATAAGTATTTCTATTCCTAATGGGAGCCTAATTTAATGGGGATTTTCCAGCAAGCCAATCGACAGACATGTTAAAACACATGTCTGTTGAACAGAGATTATCAAGTGAGAAAAAATAAAGCACTTATTTTTACCAAAATCTATGACCTGAGAGCCTACAGTGATAGATGCTGCTATCCTCTCATACCACCGTAATTTTTTACCTCCTCTGTACCCCTAAAGTGTCTGTCTTGTCTACTACTCCCTGGTGGCATTGTCCGCATCTCTGCTCTTGCCTCTTTTCTGCTCATCCTCTCCTCTTTATGTCATTTTCTCCCCCTCCTCTCTCTTTATTTCCCCTCCTCTGTCCCTCCCTCGCTCTGTCATCCCTCTCTGTTAGCTGATCAGTGTGCCTGCCTTCCTTGCATTGTTAACATCAGGGATGAGATTCTTTCTTTTTCTTTGTCTTTTGCACGCATTTCTAATAATTGTTTTCGTCTTTCTCACTCACACACGCATGGTCGCGTTCCTCACTCCAACCCGCTACTCCGTGACACACACACACACACACACACACATACAATCACACTCACATCGGTCTCCCTCTCTCTTTCTCTGCAGATGTCTGAGAGCTAGCCAGCTGAGAAGAGGACTCACCTCTCTGCCTGCGCTCTCCACCTGCAGCCATGGATGGTAAGGACACTTTATCTTGTGTTCGTGGGAGCAAAATGTGTACTCTCGGGACAGTGGTCAGGGTAGAAATTATGAAGTTGAAGGGAATAGTTAAGGAAAGAATGGATGGAGCTCTCCTATAAGCAGCTTTGTGTCGTGCTCATTCTTTAAACTTTCATCATTCCTTCTTTCAGTCTGTACTGAAGTTGTGTCAGCTGAAGATTTCGTCAATGGCATATTGATCTGACTCCGGACTCAAGGGTTCCAATTAAAATGAATTATTAGATAAAAAACATGTTTTGTTAATTGTGTGCAAATCGTAAGGATTCTTTTGGATGTTTTTGCGTAGGGAACTGGCTCTGTTTCTGTTGTACTCGGTCTCGAACATGATGTATCTCTTTTGTCATTGGTGTGGACAGTATTGCTCCATAGTGTGTGTATATATGTGTGTGTGTGTGTGTGTGTGTGTATGTGTGTTAATCCTCTTGTTTCACAGCCTTTGATCATAGAACAGTAGTTGCTGCTCCTTAAGGGCTTCTATGGGAAATGCCTCGGAGAAAGTGTGCGTGTGTTTGTGTGTGTCGGATGCATTTCGTCCACATGACTAATTCGGCATTTTAACAAAGTGCCAACCCCCCACAAGTACACTCTCTGCTTCAAGCCCATCCAGTAGATAAACAACGCAATTTAGAAACACAACATCATTATATGTGATGAGTTTCTCCACGGAAACATACTGTATGTGAGGCTGAACTATTTGCTCTATTGCACATCATGAACACGGGGAATCTGAAATGAGGCAATTGTACAATCGTTAGTGTGTTAATTTCCCAAACAGGTGGACGGTGTGCAACAGTCGACAGATATTCTGCGACGTGCAGAGACTGTCGATGCACCATACCTATCTGAAACATCGACTTCCTCCCCAGGTGAAGCGTTTGATGTGTAAATAAATAGTTATGAGAGCAGTGATGAGGTTTCCCCCAGAAGGCCCGGCGCTGGGTGTCAGGAGGTTTTGCTCCAGCGTCTCCTGCAGCACCTTGACAACAACACAGGCCAACAAAGGGAAGTTAAACCACACAAGGTGGACACTCTTTGTTTTTGTTGTACAGTCGGTTTGAATTCTGCACAGGCGTTGTTGCTTTGGAAGCTGTTCCATGACAGTATACTGCAGTTTTTTTTCTATGTTTAGACTGTGTGTTATACTGTCTCAATATTTGCTAAAGGGCTCTTGTATATTCACTGGGTTTGTCTTCTGAGCAGGAAGCCTGACAACTACAGTTATGTACAGCAGGGGTTCCCAAAGTGTGGGAAGGTGAGCCTCCCCTCAGAGAACATAATCACAGCCGCGCCCCCCCTCCCAATTATTATTGCTATTATTATTATTATTATTATTATTATTATTATTGTTGTTGTTGCTATAATGCAGGGGTATTCAATTGCATTTCAAAGAGGTCCAGTAAGAGAAAATGTCATAAAATGCTCCTGTTTTCGCTACCTTTCTCTTTTTTGATTGGCTGAGCGTCACCTCCTTAAAACATAAACAATAGCTTTTTTAAACCTCTTTATGTTTTAAACATGTTGAGGTTAAGGATGGCAGCTTCCTCATACGTTGCACTCGGAGAGAAATAGTTGAGATGGGGATGTCTTTAGCAGCAGGGAGGAGTAACGTTTCACCAATGTTGTGAGGTTTACCTGCCTTAGCTATCCGTAACGCCACTCGGTATGATGCTTCGGTTGCCTTTTTTAGTGTTACAGTCCAGGGGAATCATTTATAAAGGGATATACGCTATAAAAAATGGCGTACGCCAGTTTCTACGCAATGTTTGCGATTTATAAAATACTAACTTGACGGAAAAATGTGCGGTCCTCCACGCAAACTCTAACCCATGCTACGCACTAAGCACAAACACGGGAGAGACGAGAAACTGCGACACCGTTGGCAGAAGGAAGAATGGAGAGAAATATGTGGAAATAATACCATAAATAAAATGTTACCTCTCATTTATCAGATATGAAAATTTCATTTTCAAACATTGATTAAAGCCAATCTTAAAATGATTAAACAAAACGCCTGTTTGAGACTCCTCAGTGCACACAAAAACATAACTTGGAGAAATAAATAAATACGGATATGTTATTGAAAACCACCTCGAATATGTTGTGTTCATGTTATGAAATGTTTTCTCATAAATGATGCGGTAAGCAGGAGGACAGAATTACGTCTAAACTGACGCCGTTTTTCATTTCTATAGGTGTAGATACGAGCATGGTTTTATATACTATCATGTTTAATCGTGTTTGCCAATACTTGATAAGTCGCTCGTAAAACACAGGAGGTATGGAAACTAAGAAAACCATATGTGGTAAATTGTACAGCTAATATAACACAACACATTAGTTGTATTTCCTTTAACTGGTGGATAGAGTTGCTGCGGGGAGGGGGGGTTGAGACGCACAGGCTGCAGTGGAGACGCTGCGCACAGCTGATCGACAGCTGGAACACAAACCACCAAATACAAAAACATAATTCAGATCCAGTCGTCATGACTGCACACCGGGGGGGATTCCCCGTTCACTTCTTACAGTTTCTCATCAAGGGGGTGTTTCCTGTCCCCGGTACAAACACACTGCCTGAGGAAGGCTCTGTGTATTTTTTTTTGTCATTAACCTTTTTCGGACCACTTATTTATTTATTTTGGTGACGATCCGACCTCTATGCTGCTACTCTGGTTCAAACTGCATCCACCAAACAATATGATTTATCTCGACCTCCCCAAAATAACCAAAATCTTGCACGGTGTGAGATGTCTTTTTTAGCTGTTCTGTCATCATTTCCTGCGATCTTCTTCATAAAGTCAGTCAGAATGAATGAATGAATGGGCGTTTCTTTGACTATTTATAGGCAAATATGGGCGTTACGTGAAGCCCGCAAAAGCTGCACAGCATTTCGAGTCGATTGTGATTTATAAAGGGAAACCGGCGTAGGAAGTGCTGTACGCACTTTCCTCGCCGGTACGCAATGTTTGGTGAATCGGAAAATGTCGGAACATTTCTGTACCTATTTTTTAGATTTCTACTACGTAAGCAACCTTCCCACGTGAATCCTACGCACGGCGTTATAAATGAGGCCCCAGGTCGCAGCCTTGACAGTGTGGATTTACTGCAAAGCCCTGGATGAGCCACATTTTAATAGAAACACAGGGGGAAATAACAAGAGGAGATAAGACTGCTGGGTCACAGCTCAGATCTTTGAGAGGATTAAACAAATGATGTATAATATTTTTGAAAAGAGAGCTTTAGGGCATATGGGGGGCCTTGAGCAGAGCCGGGCTAGCACTGCTAGCTTAGCTTCATGCTAGCTTAGTTTGTATGCTAAGCTCTGCTATAGACTATGTTATCTCGCTCCAGCTTCAAATGTTCTAGTGGTTTCAACCCTCTCACATAAAAGGGCTTTTACAAAAATGTAAATAAATGAAACAAGGAGAAGAAGAAATCATTTTTTCATGTATTGTAAATAAAAGTTATTTTAAAAAACAGATAAAAAAACCATTAGTCTCAAAAACGAATCAACATTTGTTATACATTTTTAATTACTTGGCATATTTTCTCTGGTCTCACATTGTATATCTGTTTTTCCAGCACAAATGTCAAACCACAGAAGACCCCTATTGATTCTATGTCTCTGTAAGAGGCTTTGCCCCATTAATTCACAGAGGATTCAGTCCTCAATGATAAACCGTACACAAACAGAGTTTACTCAGGCCTGTGAATGTGTCCATGCTAGTGACATGTCCCGTGGCGCTGTGCTAAATATCAGCTCCACATTTCCCCCCTTACAAAAGCTTCTAAATGAGGTCTTTCAAAGCCAATGAGACAATGTGGATGTGGTATACTCACTTTTCGGTGCGATATTAATTACTTTTTCCTTTTCATGGTGCTGACAATGCCAAAACTAGGTCAGGCACTGCAAGTCTGGCGTTGTCAGAGGAAAAATCATATACCTGACCAGGTAGTATGATCAGATATCGAAGCCAGCTAAAGGCAGTTAGCCAGAGTGTTTGCTAACAAACAGTGATTGCTCAGTGAGCTAACATCGGCTAACATTTGAATCTTCCTTTCTTTAACTATATAGTTTAACATTTCATCTGCTAGCTGCATATAAAGGACTGCTGAGTCTGTGTCATTCCTCAGGGATGTGTGTACTGCGGTCAACAAGAGTGTTTGGGTTAGAGCAGGGGAGGAAGTTCCATCATGGGCAGGGTGGTATTTCCTGAGGCTGGCGAATAAATTACACCCTAGATACCAGGTCTATAAAGAAATGCACCCATATAATAGCACAAATAATTTCACCGAATAACAATATCACTGCCACTATATTACAACTATAGTTTATGTACTGAGCTCTACAACTTCATTCAACTAATTTCTACTGTCTGAATTTGTGTCTGCCATAGTACTCTCCCCTGATGTTGATGTTGATGATATTGTTGTTCAGTCCAAGAGTTTAAACTTTAGAGGCAACTTCCTGTGTCAGATAGTCTGTGTCCCTAACGTCTTAGCAGTCAATCTTCTCAAACAAATTAGTAACATAACAATGTACCAACATCTATAGAGTCTATTTAAACATTTGTTGTGTTTATAAGCTTTTTTTGGGGGGGGGGAAACCAGTTAAAAATGTATTTAAGTGACAGTGTTGAAGGTTGGATGATATAAAGCAAATGGCCAGCTCTACCAACTGAGCTACACGACAGCTAATGTTTATGGGAAGATTTTCCATAGTTTTTCCTCATTTGTATTAAATGTTTTTTTACATGGACCCTTTGAGATCTATACAATTGATTCCATCCTTTTGTAGACTGCACACACACATTTAATGTGATGGTGCTTCTCATCAGAGACTCTAATTAGATTATTTGCGACAAGTCCTGATACATTATTTCACTCGAACAACATGTCCAGTTTTCTTTTTATCATTCTGAGGTTAAATTCAGCTACTTTTTGCCAGTGTTTTTTTATTTATTTGATCAAACAAATTGTACTGTTATTAATTGGTAGATCATACATTTGCATACCAATTTGACCTTAAAACTAATAATAAGATCACAATAAAAGAAGGCAAATTGTTATAAGGAAACATTTTCAACATGGTGTCTTTATTTTTGCACCAGACAGACTGTGCAAACATTTTGTTTGAGGACTGTATCGCTGTGATCGCTTTAGTTACAGACATCTGCCGAGCAGAGATGATGAATTGTTTAGGAACTTAGCTACTGAAGTGCTCGTAGACAAAGTATATTATTTTCTTTCATTCAGTTGTTTTCAATCTAATACTATCTACTTTACCGCTGTTTCTTCTGTCTTAATGTAACGGCCCGTCCACACAGCGGCGTGCGTTGAAGCTTCCAACGCTTCTGCCCATTCACTTTGAATGGGGTGACGTCACTTTTAGCCGAACTGCATCGTGGGAAGCGACGCGGAGCGTTGCTGGCGTGGCTCGCTGCAAAAGTTGAGCAATGTTCAACTTTTGACGCCTCGGAAGAAGCGTCAGCCAATCGAATCATATGCCAGTACAAGCTTTAGCCAATCAAACCACTGCTTGTGTGTCAGGGGCGGGAGATTCATGTGATTGGTTGTTGGTCGAGTGTCAGACACGCCCGCCGGCAAGCGTCAACGCACGCCGCTGTGTGGACGGGCCGTAATTAACAGTCTTTCATCACTCAGCTATTGTAGTTTTAATTGATAATTTTTTTTACATCAATCCCCTTCTCTTTCTACGATGTAGTCATTCATTATCTCACCGTGTCCTTATCTATATCTGTCCTTCCATTACTGTCATGTGTAGAGATCCATCTTTGCACAATGTCCACATAGTCAATCCTTTAATTAAAAATGGATTCAGAGCTCTCAAGGTATGGGAATAAAAAATGCAGGGGAAGGCTGTAAGTATACCCTGCTCGTGTTATGATTTGATTAATTTCACTGATTCCCTTTATGATAAATTGATTATCAGCTTCGATGATAATCTTTCATCCACCTCAATTAAAGACGTCTTGTGGAATCGAGCAAGAATTGAGTCTCACACTCCTCACACAGCACATTTAACTTAATATTTAATTCATGGACAACCCTGAAGTTACCTTGAGATATGCAAGAGTGGAGCGGAGTGAAAATAAGCTGACCGGACATTTTTCTACATTAATCATTGTCGGGAGTTTGTTAAGAGTGTTTTCATCTGAGGGGGAAATCTCATACGGGGTGGAAATTATGCAGATTGGTGAAGTTGAAAAGAACGATGTATACTGAAATTGGTTTTAGCATTTCTGCTTTTCACACTATTTGTGTGTGTTTAAGAGTGGAGCCCAGCCCACACATTATGTTTTTAAATTAGCTTTTTCTGTCTATTTTTCTTCCTAAGATATGATCCATTCATATTTATGACTTTAGGGCTCTACAAAAGTAGCAGTTTATCTCATAAAGCAGGATCTCTTTGTACTCATGTTCCTTTGACATAGCAGTGCCCGGGACAGCTTGTAAAGGATTTCATGCTGTTGTGGTTTATATCATCCTTTTGTGAGTTGACTTTGATATTCATGGTCTCCAGAAGATTAATCTTTTCACTTTGGTGATCCCTTGACTTTCTTTTAAAATATATCATCATATAACCTTTTTCACCCTAATATCCCTGATGTATGAAAGTGCAGTGACAGACAGGAAACATGAGGGGAGAGAAAGGTATAAAATGAAAAAAAGGTACCTGGCCATTTTTTGCGTCTTAATTGATGCAGTGGATCCCTGTGGATCAACTTCAAAAGTCTTGCTTCATTATTATTGCAAAGATATTTCAAAATACAGGCTTGTCTTGTTGTTTTTATCCAGGCGGAGCCAGTGTGTGGGCCATTACTCCCGAGGAGAGGGGGAAACATGACAAACAGTTTGACTCCCTCGCCCCGGTCCTTGGCTATGTCTCAGGTAGGCTGTTGTCATAACAAACAATCAGAAGTGTCATCCGTGGTTCAATTATTGAAATGCCTGTCTTTTTGAATTACGGTCTAATTATGGTCTATCTTCAGGAGAACAAGCTAGGAAATTCTTCCTCCAGTCTGGCCTGCCTGCTCCTGTCCTGGCTGAAATCTGGTAAGCAACAACCAGCCACATTGTTTCTCAGAGTGAGTTTGGTCCCATCTGGCCTGCTTCTTACTTCCTGTTGAGCACTCACTTCCTTCACAGCCTACCCAGAAAACTGTGTGTGTAATGTATTTAGAACAGAGTCTGTGTGTGTGGTTTGGTGTTGGTGTGAATAACGCCACTGGATTTCAATCCTACCAGGGCCTTGTGTAACCCTGTCCTTTCTACTGTCAATAAAGGAAGAAAAAAACTAAATATGCACACTTTGCTACAACTAGATCATATTAAACAGCTTTATTTTTCCTCCCTCTGCTTTAGGAACCTAGCCGACATGGAGAGCGATGGGAAGATGGACAGACAGGAGTTCTCCATCGCTATGAAGCTGATCAAACTCAAACTCCAGGGGCGAAACTTACCATCTGTCCTGCCGATCACAATGAAGCAAACGCCCGTCTGCAATGCTGCTCCAACTATCCGCTCATCAGCAGGTTTTGGTAAGGATTTTTCAGAATACATTACTGAAGAACCACAATCTAACTTAACCAAAACATTACATTTTAACTCTTACTCCCACAACCTAACCTCTTAAAAGTGCTGTTTCACGTAGGGGAATTATATTTGAATGGTAAAACTTTCAAATGGGAGGCTTATTTATTTTAAAAAGAAAAAACGACCCTGGTTTTACTAAATGGTGGTTGCTTTCAGAGTATAATAGGCAGTTTAAGTCATTGATTGACACAAATAATACTTGCACCAGCTAGGGTTTTCCTTTATGAAATAAAAGCTACCCATTTCGAAATTTTACTTTAATTGAGTCTGTCTTCTGAAACAGTGTTCCTGATCTGTTCATGTTCACATGTGTGTTTCCCCCTTATAGGAATGGGTTCTATGCCAAACCTGTCAATTGGTCTGTCCTCCATGTCAGCCATGCCCCGCCTAACACCCATCCCGGCTAACCCCTCCATGCCCTCCCTGCTGCCAACGCCAATGACTCTGCCCCTCATCAACTGCCTAGGGAACTGTGGACTCCCCAACGGCAATATCAACCTCCTCAGCCCACCGCTAGTTCCCAACAATGCAGGTTGGTTCTGAAGTGGAACCATTCTGATTAGCTCACGAGAAAAAATAAGATAGATATTGATTAGTGGATTAGCACCAATTTATTAAATCTTATCCCAGGATCAAGAATGTGAATGTAGAGTGTGGATGTTGGATTATGTTCCAGAGAAACGGGGATATTTCTCGAACGAAGAGGAGAAGACAGACGGATAAAAGAACTGCAGCATAGATAAGAAGCTTGTGCTATCGATTTTACCTTCTGCACATACAATGAAAGCTATTACCATGGCATTACAGCTGGGGACATAGATACAGGTAGTGTGTAAAATGAGAAAAATGCTTATACTTGTTCTTTTTGGGAATTATCTCCAGTTGTATATCTATTCAGAACTTGCCAAGGACATTGGATGCACCAGCTTCTTTTAAGTACTAATTAGTCTAATTATAACTGTACTGTTTACAAAATGGAGATTGCGCATCACTAAATTAAAATGGGAAATCACACAATCTAGTTCTACAAAAATGTTTTTTGCTAAATATTTAAAACAAGCACCTACCAGGCTCTACATCATGTCTAACTGAACCGACTGACAAAGCTACGTAAATTGAAACATATGAGCAGCTTTGAATTACGAGTACAGTAACACAAAAGCATGGAGCACCTTCTAGTAGAAACCTGACAAAAGAACCTGAAAATGTGTTTAAATTAAATGTCATGTAAAATAACACAATACATCTCAAATTACAGAATAATATGCTAATAGTATCTAATCAAATCTCAATCTAATTAAATTAAAACACAAACTTCACATATTATTTGCTTTAGAGTAAATACTGCTATACCAACTCTGAAGCACACTCATCTCCATACATTCATTTGTAATTGAAAAAAAGATCCACCTATTTTCAATAAAATGTAACATACCACTGGTTTAAACAAATTCCTTATGTTTGACCTCTTAGGATGCTGCAGTTACTTCCTGTTTGCATTGGAAAGCATCTTCTTAAGACATATCTTAGGCTTGAATGGTTAATCATTTAGTAAATCACTAGTTTAAAACCATCCAGTAGACTAGTAAAAGCTGAGGAATGATTTATGAAAGCTGCTGCAACCCCATCCTGGTGTGTAATGTTTGGAGTATCAGGTCATTTATAGATTCAGGTCTTGTGCGTAAATGCTGCAGTGTTAATGTGGTGTGGATATCACATGCAACATGAAAGCGCTGAACCCTACCTACCTACTCCCTGAGGTCTTGTATCAGACTTGAATGCAATATGGAAGCATCTGTGTATAATATAGCCTACAGTATGTGTATGTACGCAGAAACAGCTGCTTCAGCACCGGTGGCAGGTGTACATATATAATGTATACATACTCAATAAGTCCGTTTTTGAGGATTCTATCTCACCCTATACTCTTCGTCTCTCACTTCCCCATATCTCCTTTGGCTGCTGTCTTTATCTCACTCTGTTAATGGTTGGCTATGAAATGTGCATGAGTGTGAACTTTCTCAATTATTTGGCATTTCCTCAATCTTTATCCCCGGGGTGAAAGTATATCAGGGCCACAGCTTTCCAGAATAACAGCCACCGGTTTGTTTTTACCCAGATGTCAATAACCTTGGTGCTGGAGCAATGTGTGCTGCCACTGTAAAGTATGAGGAGATAAGATTACATGTACACACGTTCAAGGGCAACTGCACTCTGTGTACTTCTACAGTATGTCAAAGCACATGCATGTATGTGTTTTCATGCTTTTACAAAAGCACTGTTTTTCTCATATTACCGTGAGTTTGTCAAACATAATATTTTAAACTAACTGCCTCTAACTATGCTTGCAGCGCTCCCTCTCTCTGGCTTCTCCTCTCCCATGGCGTTCTCTCCATCCACTGGCATGTCAAAGGCCAACTCTCTTCTTGATCTCGGATCCAGCAGGTGAGAAATAAATCCATACTGCAAATACAACCATCTAATCTCCCCCAAATTTGCATGTCTAGAGAATTTTGGACAATTTTAATGATGTTTGTCTGCCCATCCAAGTCCTCCTGAAACATACATTTAGAATAAAAGCCTCAATTTCTAAGTATATAAAATGTGAGGATTTCTAGTAGGCACCATTTTTGGAGCAGGGATTATGGGATATGCCTGTTTAAATACTGCTCTGAGTCACTACCAGCCCTTTAGCCCAGTGCTCACAAAGAGGCATAGTTTCGTTCAGGGGAGGGTTGAGGATCAGAATGCAGGCAGAGATGAAACACGTTGATAACACAGGGAGCAGGAAGGGCATTTTCAAATCAGATGTTCTAGCTGGCTACAATAGGAAGTGGGCTGGTTTAGAAGCACACACATCAGAGTCAAATGGCATTCTTTCAAGGCGAGGTCACCATTACTGTGACGTTTTAATCTGGTTTTTAGTAGCCGTACTAGGACATCCTCATTGCTGTTTTAAATACCGATTGGATTTGGGCAATGATCTATGTTCATTAGAGGTTAACGTCTATTGATATTAGTAATCCTCTGACTTCTAGCACCACCATAAGGTTCACATTTTAAGTTTTGAGGGAATATTTGAGCAATTACTATATGGATTGCCCTGACATTCATGCCCCATTTAGCTCATAACACCACTGTACAGTACTTCGCCTACAGTATGTAAAGCACTATAGAGCAGCTAGTTTAGCTGAAGAATAGTAATCTCATAAAATGTAAGACAGATTGTATTTCAGATGAGGTCTGCAAAACAAATACAACAAACTTGTAGATAGTGGACTAATGTATAGAGACGTGCACTGTTGTTTGCGTGACCAGTTGGGGTTTGTCACATGAAATGCTAATTATCACACATGGTATTAGCCTTGAATGCTAGCTTGTGTCTCAAGGGAAAGTGGTAATATGATATGGCGACTGGAGGCGTTTTGCAGTCCTACAACAATGACAGAAAAACGTTATTTGTGTTTTTGCACAAAGCACTTGATCTCTGCCTGGAATGGAAACCAACAGCTGGAAGGTTTTGGGCAGTTTCAGCAACAGCTAGATTCCCTTCAAAAAACACAATATGTGGTATCTAATATCCTTCTTATTGTGCAGTTTGGGGAATGGATAGGATTAGTATCTGGTTTCATTTTGAATATATTGTTTTAGATGTCCTCGTGTTTGTCCTGTCCCCGGGTGTAGATGGTAAAACTGGCATAAATAAGGGCATCAGGAGTGTGAAGAAGTAAAATACAGGTTGACCCACATCCACCCATATACTGTAAATCCAACCTTCAAGTTCTAAATTCAATAATGCTTGACACTTTGCTGTTTTTTCCATACCCATAACAAGTTATAAGGGACACACACTAAAATACAAAACAAAAAAGCCCTTGGGCAGAGGGAGGATCCCACATTGCATCTCCCATTGTCTCCCTGAAACCTCTTCTATTTCAGAGGAGGGTAGCGAGTTTCCACCCGGCTATAATGACAGAAAATAAGCACATTCTTTTCAAATGAACATCAACGACCCAGCCTTTGCTATTCTTGCAGAGGCATTGTTTGTAATAAAAACAGAGCGGCTGATTAGCATAGCCTGAGAGCACGTTTCAGAGAGTCATTGTCTACGAGGCCGTTCGCTTCCTCTACCGCTAATTAAGAGATAACGCCGGGGAGTCCCGATGCAATTAGTGGTTTTAAGTCGAGGCTTGAAAACAAGGGGAGAAATAAGGAAACGCTGACCACGTATTATTATTCTGTAAGTTCCCTTTAGGTGATCTCTTGGCGTGACTCTCTTTTTCTTTTATTCCGCAGTTCAAATTCTTCCTCCACCACTTCGTTGGCCAGCAACTCTCCGAAGACGGGTGCAAGTGACTGGGGCGTTCCGCAGGGCGCGAGACTCAAGTACCGCCAGCAGTTCAACACGCTGGACAAGCTCATGAGTGGATACTTATCTGGTAGGTCCCATACGCACACAGATACTGTACGTGCACACTAAATAAACACAAGTTGAGTGCAGGGCTGCTCATGAGAGGCCCTCTCAAAGTTTGACAGAGCATAGGCTGGGTCAGCATCACTTCAGACACATGTACCCTTGTTGTTGATCTTAGCCCCACTTGACAGAATGTGGTGGTAAGAGGTAGCAAACATTTTCAAATCAGCTGGCAGGAATTCAATCTGTTATTAATTCTGATAATGCTTTACCTTGCAGGCCCTCAGGTTAGAAACGCGCTGATTGCATCCAACCTCACCCAGACTCAACTCGCCACCATCTGGTGAGTATAGGTTGCCCTTTTGAGTTCATAATTGTGTTATCACAATACATATATCATTGTATAGTTTATAACATAGTGATATATTCGTTTTTTATTTAATATGGAAAGTATTCCAATGGCCTACAGTACAAAAAGGCAATTAGAACTATTAATTAATGCCAATATTATTTAACAAAAATACATTGTTGGTTTATATGTAAGGAAAAGGTCATTTAAATTATGTTGGAAATTAAAAAATCATTGGAGATTATCTTAAATGTTACTCCTGATTCACTTCCCATTATTTTTTGTATTATAAACATCGATCCAAATAACTTATTGGAGCATTTTAGTGTCTTTTAGCAAATTGTTTCAATTTACTCTCTATGATATCATAATCAACATACTCTAAACAGACCTTACACTTCTTACCCAGCAAAATAAAAAAGCAAACCAGGGCAGCAGGATAAGAGGAAGATGTTACTTGCGATAAATTATGAGATATAAAACTGTAAATTCTTTAAAAAGTCATTTAAAGTGCAGTTCTCTTCTCTTTGAACTAATTAACAAAAAGTGCGATATCTCAGTTTTTTGCGATGTGTTTATTACACAAGTTGTCATCCCGATGAGAATAAAAAAAACGATATTTTGTACAGCATCAGTGAGTCTAGGACCAGATGGTAAGAGACAGGTCTGTGCAGGATGTGTAAATAAATCTGTTTGCGATCTCACTCCAAATAACAACTTCACAAGGTGATAATTTGTGAATGTTAACAGCTTGTCTTGCTGCTTCCAAAAAAAAAAATCCTGCTGTCAAATCATGATATTATAACCCACAAGTTTTCATTTGTATTGCTTTATTTGAGTTACTATATTCCTTACTTCCGCAGGACTTTGGCAGATGTGGATAAAGACGGACAGCTCCAAGCTGATGAGTTCATTCTGGCCATGCACCTGGTGGAAATGGCTAAAACTGGCCGACCTTTACCCCTCACCCTGCCTCAAGACTTGGTACCTCCCTCTGTCAGGTAACATACACTGTATTTATACACTTTTCAATTGAATTTATATTTAAAATTGCAATAACAGAGGTATCCATTTGTTGGATTTCAGAGGAGGATTCCAGCCCATTGAGCTTGTTAATGGAACAGGGCCTCACATAACTCCCTGTTTAATCGACACGCTGGAGATACTACCTTCACAAAAGAACATAAACAATGGTATGGCATTTCCTGCACACAAAATGCTTTCTTATAACGTAAGGCCTCTTCCTCTGTAACATTCCTGTATGTTCTCTTCCGCTCAGTGTCCTACGAGGACAGGCTGAAGGAGAACTTTGCAAGAGGCAGCGCCGAGCTGGAGAAACGTCGCCTGGCTCTGGAAGAGGAGCAGAGGAAGGAGCGAGAGAGGAGGGATAGGGAGGAGAGGGAGGCGTATGAGAGGAGGGAGAGGGAGGCGAGGGAGCAGGAGAACCGCAGGAGGCTGGAGGAGGAGAGGCGGAGAGAGATGGAGAGGCAGAGGGAGGAGGAGAGGCTGAGAGAGCTGGAGAGGATGGAGGTGAGTGATAGAAGCATCATGTGAGACGCTGAACCCCTAGTTTGTCAGGTGACCATGTGTGTTCATGCTTTAAGGCGGCAAAGCAGGAGATGGAGCGCCAATGCAGGGAGGAGTGGGAGCGTGGGAAGAGAGAGGAACTGGGCATGAGGAAAGAGGGAGAGCAGGAAGAGATCTCCAGACTGAGGGCCAAAAAGAAGGGTCTGGAGTTGGAGCTGGAGGCTGTGGTGAGACTGAAATAACAATCAGAAATGTGCCATCACAATCTGGCAAAAGACAACAGGGACACTGATATCAATTACCCCTGGTCTCGCAGGGCAACAAGCACAAGCAGATCTCAGACTGTCTCCGTGACGCCAAGAGCAAGAGGCGGATCCTGAAGGCAGAGGTGGACCTCGTCAATCAGAAGAGAGACGCACGCATCATAGAGATCAACACGCTGCAGCTTCAGTTCGAGGTTAAAGACTTTCCACTTCCCTTCCGTGTCAAACATTTAAATAATTGCATTTAGTTCATCCTCTGCTTGTGTGTGCCTCTGTGACTTGTAGGACTGGCAGAAGAAGCTCTCCATCCTGATCCCAGAACAGCAGAGGCTGACAGAGAAGCTGCGGAGCCTCAACCTCAACAAAATCTCCTGTGGGTGACTAACGCCTGGTGGCACAACAAGAACGCATCGCCGGAATTCTCTCACTTTCTTCTGACATCTTTGATCTTTGCCTTGCAGCCGTGACTCTGACCTCTGTGAGCGGGAGTGTGAACGAGAAAGGAGTGAAATGCCGCAGGCTGAAGGACCAGCTTGACACTCTGGAGAGGGAGACAACCGACAAACTGGCCGAGATGGAGCAGTACAACAAGGAGCTTAAGGTCAGTGGGTACAGACAAATTCAGGAAATGAAGGGTGGTGACGACCTTTTTAGCCCCAATCAAAGGAGATTAAACTATTTGAACTTATACACAACCCAAATTAGCCCCGGAAGAGCCAGGTCAGAGTGGTTTCAGACCCAAAATGGTGGAAGTTGTGTACTGATGAATGACGACATGACTTATTGATTAGCTATTTGAGGTTTTACTTGATAGCCAGGCTAACTGTTTAACTGTTTTTCATCTTAATGCAGGCAAAGATTATCAACTGGTGTATAGTAGTCCTTTTCTCATCTTGAAGCCCTAACTTTTTGGGGGGACATGTATTAACTTATATTTCGGCATAAAAGTGGATATTTAATGGATGATACGACAAAGAAAAAATAAGCACCACTGCATGATTTATGGCACCAATATGCAGCAGCTGGATTTGTTTCTACCCTTCAGATATGGTTTATTGGAATAAAGCAGAAAAAGGCAGTTTCACACTGAAAACACTGCTGTGAAATCTTGTTCGGCTGCTCAGGGTAACTTTAGAGTTTCACCCCTCAGGCAAAGTTATTGCCCACATCCATACTCAGGTGTACACAAATTCGATACTTGCTGTGATGATTGATGTCATGCTCCCTCCCAGTATATCAATTGTCAATGTAATACTCACTATTTCTCTTTTGGTCTGTTTAACTGTTTTCCTTTCCTCCCTGCTCTTTAAAGCTTTTAACGCCTTGATTTTTCTTCTCCGTCTCTTTTTTCCGCTGCTTCCTCTACCTGGATGTCTTTCTTATGAATTCACTTCTCCGTTTTTCTTTATCACACTTATTATACCTTTTGATCATCTCCGTCTCTACTCCACTGCTTTGCCTCCCTCCATCATCGCACTGTGTTTCGCTCATAGCTGGGGGATATGGATGACTGTGTCCTGCGAGGCCTTCTGTCTCTGCTGGCCTGCCTCAGCCAGCTCTTCCTTCTCATCAAGGTTATCTTTCTTCCTCTCTGTCTCCCTCTCCCCGCCCCCCACTTTGTAATCTTTATCACCCCCCCTTATTTATTATTTTGTCATCTCACCTCTTGTTTTCCCCTATACAGTCTATGGTTTTCCCCCAGTCCACAATCTTCAATCCTCCTCTCCTTTTGTATTCTACGACTCATTATTAAATGGAGCTGGTCTTCCATTCTTTTGTTTGTGTTTTTCTCCATGGAATTTGTTCCAGCCTGTGTTTCCTCTGTAAACAGGTTGCACCCTGAGGGTAAACAGCACACACAGAATGCTTAACCTGCACAATTGCTGTATTAGCAATGGGAGAAAATGAATCTGCTTGTATAATATACACACAACTGCATGTGTCTGTCAGTGTTGGTGTGTTTTTCAGTATTGCATGTTTGTACTAGTGCACCAAGCAGGTATGATGTTAAATGACCTCATATGTAGCCTACATACTAGAGATATGTTTTGCAGCACCTGGACTTCTTTCTATAGATGTTGACACACACATGTAAAAGACAGCACTGCACATCCACTACCTTGGCTGCTTTGTGTTTGTAGCAGCAGAATGAAAGCTTGCATACAGCTGTTTTGTGCTTTGGCGAATCATAACACTGTTTCTGCAGTGTTAGACTGAACGATGCTTGATTTGATGCCTCTCTTATAGGGCTGCTCAATTAATCGTATTTTAATCGCGATTACGATTATGGCTTGCAACGATTACGAAAACAACGTAATCGAAATAAAACGATTATTATTATTTTTATTATTATTATTACTTTTTATTTATTTTTATTTTATTTTTTTCAGTTGAATTATACTTAAAGTTCAGGGTAATCAACTGTTCAAAACATACTGTTCACATTTTTTTTCTCCAATAAATGGATGTTTTCAAAGTCAATGAATAATCGCATTTACTAATCGCAATTACAATTATTGACCCAAATCATCGAGATTATGATTTTTGCCATAATCGAGCAGCCCTACTCTCTTATGCATTGTACATTCTGTTGCTGCATCAGGAGCTGAGGGAGAAGCAGGTGAGGCAGCAGGCTGTCCTCGACGACCTGCACAGAGTCAAAGAGGAGAAAGTGAGGGAGCTTCAGAGGCGCAAGGAGGAGGAGATGGAGAGGAAGAGGAGGGAGGAAGAAGAGGCAGCCAGGTGAGTGTGGCTGCAAATTACTCATACTTGATGTTTTACTCTCTAGATAATTTAAGTGACCTTCATTTTTAACACATTTTCTGTGACAAAGTTGCTTTTCTCTTTCCACAGAAAAGCAAAGCTAGATCAAGAGAGAAGAGAGCAGGAGCAGATCAAGAAGGAGGAAGAGGAGGCGCGTCAAAGGAGGCTCCTGGAGGAGCAGAGGGCCCGGCAGAGGGAGGAGGAGGAGAGGGAGGCACAAGCTCGCCTCAGAGCAGCTCAGGAGAAAGCTCAGGAAGAGGAGAGAAGAAGGAGAGAAGAGGAGGAAAAGAAGAAGAGGGAGCAGGAGGAGGAGGAAAATAAGAAGAGGGAGCAGGAGGAGGCGGAAAGGAAGAAGAGGGAGCAGGAGGAGGCGGAAAGGAAGAAGAGGGAGCAGGTGGAGGCAGAAAGGAAGAAGAGGGAGCAGGTGGAGGCGGAAAGGAAACGGCAAGAGGAGGAGAAGGAGAGGATAAGGAGGAAAGAGGAGCAGGAAAGAGGAGAACAGCAGCCGGTGTTGGTGGCTCAGCCATCCTCAAAGCTGACCCCGTATAGAGCTCTGTACTCGTTTGTGGCCCGAAACGCAGATGAGCTGAGTATAGATGCAGACGGCACTATAGAGGTACTAGACACACACACACACACACACACACACCACACACACACACACACACACACACACACACACACACACACACACACACACACACACATGGGCATGTATATATTTCAGTATTTAATATTTGCCGCATTCCTCAAAATTCCTGAAGTCCCATTTTTGTGTATATATATATATATATATATATATAACTCCAGGGATTGATTTACCAGCTGAAACAAAGCCCCAAAAAAGAAATTGTTCAGTAATTTTTGTCAGGGATAGACTTTACATATGATAATTAAATGTAAGTAAAAGAAAGTAACAAATATCACGCAAAAAAACAACAATTTAACCGAACATTTACACATTGTTTACTTTTATGTAAAAGAGTAACTGCTTTTATAATTGCTAGCCTAAGCTAGTTAGCTAATATGACTATGATTGTATTTCTAGCAGTTAGCTTACTAGAATCTGTGTTTTACTAAAATATGTCATTACTATCCGCTTGGCACAAGATGCAGGACAGAAACCAACACGGTCAAGTGAAAAAAAGAGAGTTGTCTGATCTGCCAAAAAATGTAAATGACAGTAAAGCAGGTGTCCGATGGATCTCTAAAAATACTAAATGTGTATGATCGCTGTGCTAGGAAACAACATCATCTATGTCTTGCAATTGTTGATATAAGGTGTGTTTTCCATGATGCAGGTGGATGAGCAGACTGTCGGTGAGCCTGGCTGGTTGTGTGGGAGATTCAATGGAAAAAGGGGCTGGTTTCCCCAGAGTTACGCAGAGAAGTGCCACACTCCCTCTACCTCCACCACGGAGACTCCAGCTTCTTTACCTGGAAAAATGTCGTGTCCACCGCCAATACCACATAACACAGGGTAACTGAAATATCCCAAAGAAAAAGTATTTGTTTCATTCTGTCTCCCTACACCTGTGGTTCTCAAAGTGGGGGGCACGCCACCCCTGGTGGGCGCAGAGGCATGCCAGGGGGAGCGCGAGAGACCAGGAGGAAAAATGGTTATACAATTTTTTTTTTTAAAGATATCAAAAAATCATAATTTCAAAAATTATTGATTCGAAAATAATATGATGCAGTACAATACTATTACGTCTGGGTCTCTGTGTTTCATTAAAGCTCGGCTCTGTGTGTGTGTGTGGAACGAGCCATTTTGTGTGCGCGAGAGAGAGAGAGAGCGCATCGGTACCGGAGATCGTTGTTGTTAGCTTCTGGTGCTAGCAAGCTAGAGTTTTTTCAACAACAAAGTGGAGGAGAGTCCTCTCCTGTCAGACTGAGAGACTCAGTGAACTAAAGGACTCTCTCAGTGTTATCTCAGTGGGTCTCAAACGTTTTGGTCACCATTAATGTAAACAATTATTTCCGAGGCACACGTTTATATGATCATTATTGTTTTAAAAAAACAAGAGAATAAATGAAAAACAGCTATGAAATACTATATGACAGTAAAACAAGAATAAAGTTTAAAAGGGGAGTGATTTGTAAAATATCCATAAAGAAAAAGTAAATCTGTTAACAGTTCTGTTTCATATGGGTGTTGAGAGAGGTATCCATAGATCTCTTCATTTTGCTCTCAAAGTGCACCAGATTGATGCTTTTAACTTCAAGATTGAAAAAAATATCTTCCCGGGGGAGCTTGCCCCCGGACCCCCATATGTGAGGTCCGCACACCACCTATAAAAATAGCACTTTAACCCTGCTTACACCTATATGCCGTGAGCTGATTATCGAGCCTTCATTGTGACAGTTGCCTGAACACTGTGTATATGCGTGGGGAGTGTTGCAGTAGAACATTGCGACAGCGACCGGTACATTAATGGGAAACCCTAAATGTTTGAGCACCCTCTATGAAACGTCAAGCTACCCCACAGCACCCCCAAAATAAATCTCTGGCGCCGCCACTGAGCCTGACTATTTGTGTTGGGGGGCCCCGACTTTTTTTTTTCTCCAATGGGGGGGCCTGACAGAAAAAGTTTGAGAACCACTGACCTACACTAAAAATATTACAATTTTGTTCTGTATTAGTTGAGTTTTGATTCTTGTTTGCTTCTTCTCTAAGTGTTTGTCCCTCCATTTTTACCCAGAGATCTAGATGGGAAGGTAGCGGGTGACAGCACTGTTTCTGCCCAAGCAGACACTTCACAGGTAAAGTTTGATATATATTTTTACTCTAGGCTCCTAGAATAGCAATAGCAATATAACCCAAAGGCAAAAAAGACAAACTCCAGAAATATCTATAAAGCGTGTTATTTTCAACCTTACCTTGACTTTAAAATAACATTGCATGAAACATATTTGGATCCGCTATGTTTCCTGTTAGTGTCATGTTCCCTTCCTTCATAGTTATTTGAGCTATAAACAGGCTTTGGAAGGCAACTAACTAGGTCTGGCTTGTGTACATACACTGCTGCTGACACACACACACACACACATCCTTCTACAGTACAACAGCAGGATGTTTATTTATAGTTTTCCCTATTGAGAGTTCTTCTATTTCTTGGCCATTTTGTGGGTCACACAAGCATTTACAGATCTCCGTCTCCCAATAGATGACATTAGTGTTAGTAGGTCTCATGGTCAGGGTGATGAAGTGTGATGTGATCTGAGATATTTTAAGTATCTCTATATCTAGACGAATGGCCTTGAGGATGATTTTCATGGTTTCCTTGATCAATCATTTACTCCATGGTGCTTGATGTAAAACTTTGCTTCTCTACTTTTCAGTCCTTCTTCCCTCTGTTGGCTCGAGCTGTTTCCTCCTGGTCCGCCACATCGGAAACTCACCTCAACCTCTCCTCCGGGGCGGGTGACGTCATAACCCCAATGCTGAGCTTCTCCCAGGGTGACATCATCAGCGTGCAGCAGCAGAGGGAAGACTGGTGGTTGGGGCAGCTCAATGGGACACAGGGATGGTTCCCCAAGTGCTATGTCACTTTGGAGATGGGTGGCAATACAGAGTATGAAGACACACACAAACACACCTTATATTGTCTACTTTTTCTCAGAGTACATTGACTGTGTTTTTCCCCTTCTAGTGTGGATCCATTTGACACATGTGATTCTGTTCAACTAGAGGGTAGGTATAGTTTATCTGTGGCACATAACTGTATTTCATATTCATATTGTAAGATATTTGGCTCTGACTTGCACTCCTGTATTTTATGGTAACCAGAGTTTGTGGCCTTGTACACGTATGAGAGCCCAGAGGCTGGGGACCTGACGTTTGTTGAGGGAGATGTTGTCATGGTGACAGAGAGAGAGGGAGAGTGGTGGCGTGGATGCATCGGGGATCATACGGGAGTGTTTCCATCCAACTATGTCCGACCTGTAGAACCAGAGGTGAGACGAGCCATTTAAAGTAAAAAAGCATCATATAATCTTTACAAAGGATGTATTGAATTGCATTATTTATTCATTTAGCATCTGCTGTCTATTGTCTTTTTATTTTTTACTTTTAAAATGTTTTTGATAAGGGCCTTTGAGCTATGAATTATAAATAAAGTTTTAATTAAAGGATTATACAATAATATATATTTAATCATCTTCATTTTTTGTTAAAGTTACATAGTTTTCTTTTGTTTTTTAATGCAATTATTTGAGTTATTTGTTAATAAAATACAACTTGTTTTATTTCAGGGAACAAAAGCTGGAGCTTCGATCAAAAAGCCTGGTGAGTCAGTGATTCACACACACACACACACACACACACACACACACACACACACACACACACACACACACACACACACACAACACACACACACACACACACACACACACCACACACACCACACACACACACAAACACTCCACACAAATAAAGAATGGCCTTCTTATTACTCTGTTATGCTCTTGACATTTACCTGATCTAAATTCATCCTCAGCTGTATCTGTTTGGCCAACAGAGATCGCCCAGGCAGTCTCCACCACTGTCGCCCCAACAACGCATCAGCTGCGTCTGTCTCCAGGGCAGCTGATCGTGGTGCTGGCCAAGAACTCCACTGGCTGGTGGCTCGGGGAACTGCAGGTCAGTGATTACAGCTGTAGGGGCCCATTTCGATTTAATGTCGTTTTTATGAATGTAGTTTATATGCAAAGCTTTAAAATGCCAGTAACTCTGATTCATTCGTACTTAAATGCTGATGTGCAGTTCAAGATCAATTATTATTGCAGCAATGATTTGGCTATTCCTTCAATGTGGGATGTATTTGAATATCCACACTGACAGTCTTTTCTTTCTCTGTTTGAAGAACTATAAATATTTAATTGTATGAAAATCATTTTTTTTTAAATGGCATGCTTTATGACCAAAGTATCATTCTCATTTTTTTTGAAAATGTAAAAGAGAAATTACAAATAAATAACACAATGTAGGTAAATGTACCACTACAACAAAGCTTATTCTGTGGATGCTGTTGTATCTGCTGACTTGTCAGATCAATGGAGGTTTTGTGAGAGGTGGACAGGAGGTAACAGGAGTAATAACAGGGTTGTCTTCAGGTCATACATCTATAGGAGTGAGCGATCAATCCTCACTCCACTTTTGTGCTGAGGCTGCCACTATGGCTCTGGTTAAGCTCGCAGTTTGACATAGTAATGAGAAAAGCTGGGACAAAGCAGCAACGTTCAGACAAAATTGGAATTAAAGATGATTACCACAGCTTTGTGAAATTGCATTTGGCCCTCGGTAAAGCAAATTAGGATATTAGTCTATTAAACTTTTGACAGCAATCATTTAGTCATTCAGACTTGAGGCTGCGCTTTGGTCTAATTTATGAAGCCATATCAATTCTCAGAACTCTGCACGACCAAATAAATTCATCAATTCAAGTCTGGATAAATAATCCAGAGGGGAAGCAGCAGGAGATTGATTTACTCTCTCTTTTCCCTCCAGGCTCGAGGGAAGAAACGGCAGAGAGGCTGGTTCCATTCCTCTCACGTCAAGCTCCTCGGGCCCTCCAGCAGCAAGTCCTCTCCCTCCCCTCTGCCAGGTGATGGCACACACACTTAAAACACAATTATTGATTGGTTTCTGTCTTACATATTCAAGCAGGTTAGCAGACACATAGACAATTATTGTCTCTTATTTTTGACATATTCTCCTAAAATATACCAAGATTTTATAAATGACTAACTCAGAATTGCATAATGTAGTATCTGTCATTTTACCAGTGCACAGCATTGTTGTTAACTTTAAAAATATGCAAACACTGTTATATTTTGTATTAAAAGTATTCCAGGAAACCTTAAAGTGTCAGTAGTGTCACATCATTGTAGGGGCTCTGCAAAAGCAGCATGATTTATCCTCTGGGGAGCATAAATGTAAAAATAATTCTCAGGGTTATCCATCTAACAGCAGTCGAGATATTTCAAACAGAACCATCTAACTAACCAAGTTGCTTAAACTCACATCCTTATAAAACCAGATTTATGTCTTTGCACCCGCAGTGTGCCAAGTTATTGCAATGTACGACTACACTGCTGCCAATCAGGATGAGCTGAGCTTCTCCAAGGGTCAGCTGATCAGCGTCCTGGACAAGACCAACCCTGACTGGTGGAAAGGAGACGTCAATGGGGTCACAGGCCTGCTGCCCACCAATTATGTCCAGATGACAACAGAATCAGACCCCAGCCAGCAATGTGAGTACATCTAAAGTCACTTTCCTCAGATGGACCATATTTCTCTGTCATACATGTGAGAGAAAATCAATAGTTTACACATCTAGTTGGAAGTATTGTGAAAAAAACAAGACTGTAGGCGAAACAGATATCTATCAGCTGTAGAACAAACTTTTCTTTGCTGCTGTCAATCTGATTGGTTGACTTGGCTCACTGCAGGTACAGTAGATCCCCCATCCATGTCAGAGCATGGAGAGACTGACGGTAAGATAAAATAGTTGGTTTCTGTCACTGAGGGATCACTGGTGAATTTAAACCCACTCAGGCTCAATTCCCCACATAGTGTGATACTTAATTTAAAAAGAAAAAAAAGTTAAATCACTGTTAATTTGGCTTTTTGATTGTCCCTGGAATGGCTGTACAAAGAATTTAAAATCATTGAAAGAAATTTTGGGAAATAAGTTTATGCACCTGCTTGCCAGGTCTGTTAAGTAAGGCTAAAGCTAGCAAGCGATTAGCTTAGCATAAATATAAATATAGCAGTAAGAAAATGCTAGCTTGGCTGTGTCGGAAAGCAAAACAATCATGATAATATGCCTACCAAGACTTTTTTTAGCTCACTAAATAACACTCAGTAGGCCTATCTTATTTTCTTAACAAAAAACAGAAATATGACAAAGCTTGCTTGATAAGCTAACATTTTCCCACACACTATACAGTAGGTCAAGCTAGGCTAACAGTCTGCCATAGTTTTATATTTAGCATACAGACTCGAGAGTGGCATCAATCTTCTCTGCTTACTCTAGGGAACAAAGTGAATAGACATATTTCCCAAAATGTCTGTTCAAAAATGTCTGGATCACAGAACAAAAGGGAACAACCACTGATACATTTCAAATTAAAAGCAATTTATTTCGTCCTTATCAGTTAAATTATTTTGGAAGCTTATTTTTCACTGGGAAATTGATATGCACAATGTGTATATAGTTCACTGATCATGCTCTTTGGTAAGGGTAGGATTCTTCTAAGTCTTATTCACAGATCTGATTATTTAAAAAAGCAGGAGGTACGTGTCTCAATTACTTAGTATTCATAGCCTGCGTGTTGTCTGTTCTCTGTTAACAAGTGTGAACACACTGGACATTTAATTAGGATGCACTTGTCAAAGCTGCAGACACAAAACAAAATGACATTTTAATGCTAATGAACATGAATTCGTACACACCCCGGCTCACACAAGGCCTGCATTTAATCACAGGGAAAAAGAAGGAAGAAATTACCATCATGCCCCAACTGATGTGATTAGTACCAACATTTACATTTCCAGAAATACATTATTAATACACCTGCATGTAAGAGTGTAGCATTAATATTAAAACTATATTAATGTCTCTCCGTCTCTCCTTCATCTCACTCACCTCCCCCTCCCGCCCCTCCACTTCATCTTTTTTTCCTCTGTAGGACAGTAATGCTGGCTTTCCTCTCTGCTCCTCTTCCTCCTCCTCTTCCTCTTCCTTCTTCCCCTTCTGTCTGAGCCTATCCGATTTGCCCTGTCGCTACAGGAGGCCCAGCCGCCAGCAAGAACAGCCCACCTCTGCGCTTTCCACCTTTTTAGGACTGTAGTGTTCTGTGCTACTGGTTATTGATCCCTTTTATAATTGATTTAGCTTCCTTTACCTTCTCTTTTTTCTGTCCTTTTCTCTTAAGCATTTATTATTCACCTTTATCCCCCTCGCTCTCTCCTCCTGTGTTTCCCTTGTGTTTCTTTAACTAACTAACTAACCTGGGAGCGAGGCAGAGGCAGCTAAACATGTTTTTAGAGGCTTCGTACCTCTCATAAAAGGCATGAAATGTGCAGTTTTGCTAAAGATACATTTAAATATGGATTGAAATTGTTTGCTTACAAAGTATAATGAAACAAATATATAAATGGATTAGACTTAAATCGTTGACATTTCTATATTAAGGTTATGTATGTAAGCATTTTGCAGGGTTACTTATTCTTGCACTAACAACATGAAACCTTGCCAAAACGGACCAATGTAAAGACTCACTTTTGCTTAAATCACCAATAACCTTGATTGCTGCTTGCTGATGCTTTACTCAAACAAATGAATTGTGATTTTATTATCCACTTATTATGCACTTCTCCATCTATTAATGCTTCCAAGTGATTAAGGTTGAGGTCATCCTATAATGAACTGTGATATCACCAGCAAAAAGAACAAACAAGCAGATATTAGCATACTAGCTGTTAAGAGTAGATTCAGAGATTATAACACTACTCTGCTGACATTTACCTCCACATTTTGCTAAGTTTGAACTTCAACTGAGTCTTCCACCGCTCTTTCCCTACAGGATTAGCTTCTTTACTCATTCACACCTATGCAATCATTTGGAGTGAGCACTCCACCATGAAAGGTGCTTAATTTTTCTTTAATTCATTGCCTTGGTAGCAGAGTTCTTAGCGTTAGCATCGCCTGCTATGTTCCCTTAGTTCATGTACTGCAACTACAACGTGCCTCACACTTGTCTGTGCATTAAATGTAAATAGAAATATATAACTGACAATAAAGGGAGATTTGAACATGCATAGTGTGTCGTGTTTTTCCTCGGACACTGTATCTGTGATTGACAGGAAAGTGTTTGTGTGCATGCACATGCTTGTGTGTTTGTGCATGTTTGCATGTGCGCTGTAGGGTGTGCTGACCTGATGTCGTTGGACACCATGACCCCTCAGGAGAGGAAGAGGCAGGGTTACATCCATGAGCTCATCCAGACTGAGGAGACCTACGTGGAAGACCTGGAGCTGGTTCTTGAAGTACGGACGAACATACACATACAGGCACTGGAATTTCCTATAGTGTTTCATTTTAATTAATGTCCATTTGCAAACATCTGTCACTCAGGTCTTCTACAAACCCATGTCTGAGTCAGGCCGACTAACTGAAGCTGAGATGGGAATAATCTTTGTTAACTGGAAGGAGCTCATTATGTCTAACACCAAGCTACTCAAGTAGGTACCACACACTGCCTTTAGAAGCATTCTGGGACATTTCGTTAATATACCCATGCTACCCTGTAATTTTGTATGTGCTAAAAGGAGGAAATGCACAAAGAAAAAATATATTTAAAGGGACAGTTCACCTTAAATTAAAAATAAAATATTTGTTTCCCCTTATCTATATTGCTATTCATCAATGTAGATGTTATGGTGTAGGTTGGTGCTATCAGCCGTAGAGATGTCTGCCTTTATCTTCATGTTTAGAAATCCACAACATTGTCTCTTCCCAGAAATCATGACCCAGTTACGCAGTTTTATGTAGGAGCTATTTTCTTTCCCATATCGCTGTAGGTTGAATTGTCCCTTTAAGGAAAAATCCACTGGAAAACAGATTTGGATCTTTTAATAAAGATGTAACAAAAATCATGCTTTATATCATCATCATCCGTGTTTCCCAGGGTGCTGCGTGTCCGTAAAAAGATGGAAGGAGACAACATGCCGGTCCAGCTGATCGGGGACCTGTTGGCCTCGGAGCTCGCACACATGCAGGCCTACATCAGCTTCTGCTCCTGCCAGCTCAACGCAGCCGCCCTGCTGCAGAGCAAAACCCAAGACCAGCAGGACTTTAAAGACTTCCTCAAGGTAAAGGTGGCAGATAATGGATGGTCATATTAAAAGACAAAAACCAAAGGGACAAAACTGACAGGGTTCTGAGAAGAAAAGAAAATAGGTTCTCTCTCTTACTGTTTGCTTCCTCTTGAGCAGAAGATAGCCACTAACTACCGCTGCAAAGGAATGCCACTGTCCAGCTTCCTCCTCAAGCCCATGCAGAGGATCACACGCTACCCCCTGCTCATAAAGAACGTATGTAGAAAAATGCTTTCTTTATGACTTTATATGCACTGGATCCACCACATTTTTATGATATTTATTGCATGTCTCTCCGTGCCTCTTCCTATGGGTCAGATCTTGGAGCACACCCCTGATAATCATGCGGACCGCGGCCCTCTGAGAGAAGCTCTGGAGGGGGCGGAGGAGCTGTGCTCTCAGGTCAACGAGGGGGTGCGGGAGAAGGAGAACTCTGACAGGTTGGAGTGGATTCAGAGCCACGTGCAGAGTGAGGGGACTATAGAGGTAAACACACGCAGATAAGATATTTTTATAATATTCACTTGGAAGAATATTATAATAAAATATTTGGAAGTCTATTATACATTTTTCTCTTTTTTTATGACTTAAAGGTCCCATGTCATGCTTTTCCGGTTATTACCCGTCCCCTTGTGTGTTATGTAGCTTTTTCTGCATGTAAACGGTCTGCAAAGTCACAAACCCTCAAAGTACACCCTGTAGCGAGTAAAACTCTAACACAGAAAAGACCTGTCTATGTTGCCCAGAACGCCTCGTTGGACATTTTTCTTTTTCCATTTTTGTTCTACCTGAGTATGGTGACGTAACCATACCCAGGTCCAAATGGACCAATCCGTGGAGCTCCTCACACACACACTCACTCAGCCTTGTCTTTTCTCAGCCGTGCTACTCCGCGGAGTTTGGCCGGCACACACACTCACTCAGCCTTATCTTTTCTCAGGCTGTGAGTGTGTGGCGAACTGTGTGGCGAACAGCCTGGCTGTGAGTGTATGTGTGTGCTCCGCGGTGTCTCGCTGTATCGCAGACCCCACGCAGCAACCAGGAAACAACACCAGTAATCCAGCTCACACTGTCCACTCCTCGATCCTCAAAGGGCGGGGCAGCGAGCCCCGCAACGTCCCGCCAACACGGCACCCAGACCCCACGCAGCATTCTCATCCGTTTGTCATTACTGGTGTCATTTTCTGGTTGCTAACAAATGCTATTGTAAAACATAAACACTGATGTTCCGCTGTAACTGTGGTGATCTCATCAGAACAGAGTGGCCGAGCTGACCAATCAGAGCACACTGGGCTCATAGGGAGGGGGGGGGCAGGAGCTCCAACAAGGCGTTTAGGACAGAGAGTGAATACACATACTATACAGAGATGCTGTATGAGAAACCAATGTGATTTTGGAACATTGAGCAATGTAAATCTATTCTAGTAGACCTCAACAATGGGATTATGATCAGTAGAAATGGCCATGTCATGGGACCTTTAAGAACAGGGTAATTTTTTAATTACCCGTCTAAGTTCATATTTCCTTTCATCTAGGAATTCTTTGGCAAGAGATTTATTTGTGTGTCTGGATAATGTTATTGTTTTTGTTGTTGTAATACTCATTTTGGACACAGAGGGCCCCATGTTGTAATTAGGACTACAAACTTGTTTTTCTTCAGGGTGAATTCATATGTTTCCATGCACTCTAAACACAAAGTTCATGTATTTCTATGAGTCAAATATATTTCTAGACACAAAAACACATGAGGGTATTGCTGCATAACTTATGAATACAAAATGAACCTTGTGGTAGGGTGCTCATAGAAATGAAACAAATTAATAAATAAAAAGTCCTATTTTTAAAACAAGTGGTAGCGGATGAAAGAAACATTACAATATTATTCCACAAAAATAAACATGTTCCTGAGGCATATATTCATGAGAAAAAAACGGTTTACATCACACTTATAATAATAATCACACTTTCCTTCCGTAGAAGTCTAAAAATATCAATATTGTTGCTATGAAGTGCAGTAATAAACACCTCCCTCAATGCATGTTGTATACAGTAGCACTGTAATAGCTCCTTCTCGATACTTCTATCATAACCTTTTTTTGCGGTTTCCCTTCTCCTCTACATCAGAATTGATGAGTCTGTTACCAGAACAAATGAACACATACAGTAACAGTAGCAGAGACCGGGAGCATTTTTCACTGCAGCCCTCACTGTACTTGATAGTTTCCTTCATCTCTCCTCAGTCCTGCCTTTTCTCTTCCAGCACTTGGTCTTCAACTCGCTGACGAACTGCCTCGGGCCTCGCAAGCTGCTGCACAGTGGCCGACTTTACAAAACTAAAAGCAGCAGGGAGTTGTGGGCTTTCCTCTTCAATGATTTCTTCCTCCTCACACATAGCGCCAAACCCTTCTCTTCCTCAGGACCAGACAGGCTATTCAGTCTCAAGACCAACATACAGCTGAAGATGTACAAAACAGTAAGAGAGAGGCCAGGCAGTATTCACACACAGAATGATATCAAATACTACTTTGATTATATATGAATCAGTGCCTAGGTGCAGTCTTCCTATGATTGACCTTCTGTTCTTCTCCAGCCTCTGTTTCTAAATGAGGTTTTGGTGAAAATGCCAGCGGACCCCTCGAGCGATGAGCCACTCTTCCACGTCTCACACATCGATCGTGTCTATACGCTCAAAACTGAGACCCTGAACGAGAGGTATGCATGATGTGCATGCATACCTCTCGTTCAGGTACATCTTCCAACATTTATATCCATAAGATAATCAAACTGTGTAAAAGATGGATGTATTTATTGTGTCGGTAGAACAACGTGGGTCCAGAAAATCAAAGCAGCTTCTGAACATTTCATAGAGACGGAGAAGAAGAAGAGAGAGAAAGCTTACCAAGGTAAACACATTCACATGTTCTTACTTACCTTGGAAACCCCTGAAACACCCTCCTCTTATTACCTCATGATTTGGTCAAACTTGTCACCCCATTAATAGCAATTTAATTGAATTAAATTAGCAATTTTCAAATAGTTGGTTAATTTATGATGTTGTTTTGTGATGTAGGCTAAACTGAAGAAGCAATTGTATGCACAGATAAGATTGAATGAGAAATATCAAAGTTCCATGTAGTGTAATGTTTGCAAAAGCTGAAATATACATTTGTTAAAAAATGTAACCCCTCTGTCCTTACGATTCCTTCAGCAAAACAAAAACATAATCCTGCTCCCTGAATATTAAAATGTAAAATTTGAATTAACACTAAATGTTGTAGGCCCATATTTAATGTGTTTGTTTCAGCTCGTTCCCTGAAAAGCAGCGGTATCGGCCGCCTGCTGGTAACTGTCGCTGAAGCCCAGGAGCTCAAAGCCTGTAAACCCAATGGTGAGGAATACCAGCGAATTGTTAAATACAGTATTCATAAGCATAAGTAATTTTGAGTTAAATTGAAACACATTACGTTTCCCCCAGGTAAGAGCAACCCGTACTGTGAGCTGACGATGGGGGCTCAGTGCTACACCTCCCGGCCCGCCAGCGACACCCTGAACCCAAAGTGGAACTTCAACTGCCAGTTCTTCATCAAAGACCTCTACCAGGACATCCTGTGTATCACCGTGTTCGAGAAGGACCAGTTCTCACCTGATGGTCAGTGGATACGATACCACACACACACACACACACACACACACACACACACACACACACACACACACACACACACACACACACACACACACACACACACACACACACACACACACACACACACACACACACACACACACACACACACACACACACACACACACACACACAGAGGTTCTAAGGCCTTGACTTTCTGACTACTACGGAAGAAAAAGAAAAAACAGTTATTAATTTAAGAGGTGTAACTAAATGACTGTTCTGTTTCCTAGATTTCCTTGGTCGTACTGAGGTTCCCGTGGCGACTATAAAGAAAGAGATGGAGAGCAAAGGTGCCGCAAACCGACGCCTTCTACTGCATGAAGTCCCAACTGGAGAAGTCTGGGTCAAACTGGACCTGCAGCTTTACGAACCGACCAAATGAGGACAAAACACACACACTGCAGCCACTCACTTTAAAAAGTGCCTATTTGTAGCAGCACCAGGGTTGCCTTGAAAAACTCTTGATTTTACGTCACTGCCACGGTGGTGCCACCCACACCCTTTATCTGAAAGGGAAGTAGACCTGGCCAGATATGGAAAATTACAAACTAATAACGGGGTAATGTATTTTGGATAAACTGTTTAGGTAACCAGCAAACCAGCTTGTGAATGTAATTGGCCACAGTTAAATTTGCTAAATGGTTTTATAACACATTAATAATAAATATGTAAATGTTGCACACTACTGTACAATGTCTGTAATGTAAAAAGTTGATCCTAAGCATGCCATTTGATCCTGAAAATGGCATTATTAAAATGTACAGACGCCACTTAGCTCTCGGTTTTTTTATGGTGAATTTTTCACTACTTTTCACTTCTACTCTCAACACTTTCCTGGTGTCCATTTAATCCCACACATCCCCCTCCCAGGTTTAGTGCCTGGGGTAACATTTGAGGTAGTTAGAAGGGAAGGTAAAGATGAATCGTTAATATGGGTTTTATTTTGATGTTAGCAAGGACTGGTGTTGTTGTAAACTGGCTGGTCGTTGCGGACATCCACGTTTGGAGACCAAGCAACCGTTCCTATGGCACCTTCCATCCGGTGTGGCGGTGGAACTGATCCGGTACGGTATGTTGACGAACCTGCATGAGAGACATTTGCACGAAACAATGTGCACACATTAATTTAACAGATGCAACCCTGAAAGGAATTGGGTTGTATGAAGTACCTATACGTTCCTCATACAAACCCACTTCACAACATCCCAAATATCCCTTTATGAGGCATTATGCTGCAGCTGTATTACATAATCATTGTGCATCCTATAGGGCAGGGGTGTCAAACTCAAGGCCTGCAGACTTCATTTTATGTGGCCCGTAAGAGCTTGCAAAGAATATAATACGTTGCAATTATTTGCCCTAGACTTCTGCCAACAGACGTAGTTGATTATGAAGTTAACACCCTATCCGATAATAATTCAGGCAATAATGTAATATAATTCATTATATTATATATATGTGTATTTATATAGTCTTAAAGTTACAACCGGCTCTTTGAGCTCAACCATAATGTTAATGTGGCCCGCGATGAAATTGAGTTTGACACCCCTGCTATAGGGTAATTGAAAATATGGTTTAACATCTCATCATACTGTATACCTGTTAGACTTCCTTCCTTCAGCTTCATTCACCACTGGAGTGTTTCTGGCTGCAGTGACTGGATGATGTGAAAAGGCCTGTAGCAGGATGTTGCTCTGAGGTAGCTTCTCTACTTGGCTCCTTGTGTATCTAAATCCTAAAGCAAAAGGAAAAGTGGCCGCAATAAGCTACTGTTCAAAGTGAGGCTGTAGCAACAAAAGTGTATGATGTTAAGAAAGGGTGCTTTCGACTACTTATGAATACGGCTCTCATCTACAACAGGGACAATGTGTTATTTCCTCTTTTAAAAGTTATATAGTCTCACTTTCCCCAAATTGTGGACATAATTCCACTGTGGATATCTCAGCTCAAACTCAAAGCAAAGCAACCGTATAAGCCTTCAATTTCCTTTTGGTTCAAAGAAGAAAAATACCTGCTTCACAAGAAGAGGCTGTTCTCTTCTCCTTCAGTCTTTCATGTAACTGAAGGCACAATGGCTCCTTTAAGTCTGCCGTACCGAGCTGGGGATAGATCAGAGAATACTTCATCAGTAGCATTTGCAGTTCTTCAGTGTGTCAAAAGTTGCTTTTTAATATATATTTAGCAAAACATTTCAATCACAAAATATCACCTTCACGTTGAGGTAGCGTGGCTTTTTGATGTGGAGAAGAAACGGATCGTATTCCTTTACGTCATAATGTTCTAGAAACACAAAGCCCTGAAGATGAAAGATATTAGTTTTGTGTGTTTTTGTAGTGAAAGCACAAACACTAAAGGAGCACATGTGTGTGAAGTCTTATGCATCATTTAAAGGTCACTTATAATGTATAAAATCTTTTATACATGTGTCCCCTCTGCGTAAAAGAGATTCTGAAAGTTTCAGGAAAAAAGATTTGTTCTCTTTTTGTTCTGGTATAAAAACCTGTCTGAAAATGAGCTGATCAGATTTTGGCCACTTTATAATGTCATGTATTTTTGTCTTGTGTAACCACCAATAACCAACCAAGGTAACACCCCCCTCCTCCTAGAGCACCATTGTGTTCTTTTTAACCAAATATCTCTCAGAGGGGCGTGGGGAGGGGCTCCTTATTTTCATCTAAAGTAACAGACAGAGAATCAGCACTTTGGAAACAGGGCTGAAACAGAGGGGATTATGGGATGCTGCAATGCATGATCTGTTTGGTATTTCGAGCCAAACACTTCAGAGACATGTTTTGTATATCTGAGACCGATAATATATTGATGAAAAAGAGTATAATAGGGGACCTTTAAAAACCCTAAATGACAACAAGACCAAAGCTCTTTCCAGAGGTGAGCATCACCTTGGAGTTGCAGTGATGGAGGAAGTGACTGTAGAGGCTCTGGCGGCCTTTGCACACCGCGGGGCCACAGCTGGACACGTGTTCCTCCACCCTCCTCTGCAGGGGAAACCACACACGCTCAGTCCAGCGCTTGTGAAGCAGCTCCCTCCTCCTCAGCTCTGTGAAGTCCTGTCTGATCAGAAACTTCTCCAACTCCTAAATGAAGACATGTTTAAACCAAGGTGGGAGGTACAGGTACATCATTAAAGATTCAAGGTCCTTTTTTGTAACACAATGATGATTACAAGTTGTAAAAGCTGCATGTTTTGAAAACAGAAACTGTACATTAAGACAAAAAATGTTGCTCCAGCATCTTACCTTCACAAAACCATGTTCTGTATCCAGTAATGGTTGGGTTATTTCCTTCACCTGTTGGTTTTCTGCCTCCATATTTCTCTAAAAAGTAAAGCATGCATTGGAAAATTCACCCTCTCTTTGTGCAGGTTTGAGTTTGGATGTGTGCAATACCTGCAGTCGTCTGAGGGAGGTGTGAGAGAGCCATCCCTGTTGGCCCCCCAGCTTTGACCCAGAGGGTGAGGCCTCCTCGCTTTCCTCTGCTCTCACACATTCACCGGGGCTCCTCATACTCATGCTTGGCTGCATGGGGGTCTTTCGGCTCTCTGTTGTGCCCTTAACATCCACCATGCGCTCCTGAAACACCATAGGGTCAATTCTGTAACTGTCCTTAATAAACACAACATGCTGTTTGCAGAGTATCCTTGGATTTTGTTTTAAATGGCAAATACCAGCATTTATACAGTAGGAACAAATAATATATTATTATTATTATTATTATTATTATGTCAAATAACAGCATAGCATACTGGAATTATAATAAAATGCTGATAAACTAATTGCAGCATGCTTCATGTGGACAATAATAATAATATTTATTGGCTTCTCAACATATAAAATATCCACATTTATTAGTTATTTAGTATTATTGAACAACAAATAACCCCCTCACCAACAAAACAGCTACTAGTGAAAAACTACGATTTTTTAAAATATAAGTATGGACATAAAGATATACTATTACATCAAAAATATATAAATACAGTCTCACATCACCTTGTTCAAGCCAGGTGAACAAAGGAATAATTAATCAAATAAATATACATCGCTCTTGAACTACAGGGAAACATATTGGCGTATCAGAAAGGATATACTCAGAAATCCCGGCCTGAGTTCACAGACAGACCAGACACACTCCTGTAGGTGAACAGAGGCGACACAAAAGGCTCTGACAGATCACGTCACCACCTGGAAACCTGAGCTGCAGCTCACTGTTACGTGAACACCACGCTGGGACACATGTCTGTGCACTATGAGGATTTTTTTGGTATCAGCTGAAACATCAATGGCAGCTTCCCTCCTGCTGTGCTTTCTGTTGTCTGTCTGGAACAACCATGCTCGGCTAGTTTGTTCAGCTGCATGTCACCTGACCCCTCCACAGGCCCTTTTTTCTATTATCCTGAGTCAAGAGAGGATAACAGTGGCTACAGCAACTATCTGTCAATAACCTGAAACCTTTCCATTCATCTTTCCAAGGACACTGAGATTCCAGCATTGTACATTCAGATATGAACAGATGGAAGGAGAACATGGAAAAGTATTGTACCTCATGCTGACCAGGGTGCACTACCGTATCTAGGTACCCTTCCTGACATTTAAAACCAGTGATACATTATGAGTTGGCATGAACGTTTTTTACCTCTGATTTCAGCAGGCCGACAGGAAAATGTGTGTGGAAGGTGATCACACCACTGGGGGTGTTCTTCTTCTTTGTGCTCATCCCTAAATCATGAGAAAAGTTAAGCCATCGGTGACAACCTGCTTTTAGGTCTGACCAGAGGTGGAACAAGTGCTCAGATGTTACTGAAGTTAAAGTAATACAACCATGCACAGTGTAGAAATACTCTGTTACAAGAACAAATCCTGCACTTAAAATAAATGTTATTTCAGTAAGTATTGGCAGCAAAATGTAGCCTACTACTCAATCTGTTATCTATTATTAGTCATCTATTAACGTGTTCAACATTTGGCAGCTGGTGAAGGTGGAGAGAACCTGAATTACTTTGTTTAAACTGCCCTCCATAATAATCAATCATAATACGTTAGTTAAATTGTATCAAAGATGACTAGAAGTAAAAAGTAGCATAACATGGAAATACTCAAGTAAAGTACATGTATATTAAAAATGTACTTAGGTATTTGAGTAAATATACTTAATTGTTACTTTCGAGCTCTGGAGGACCTGAGTCAGTGTGCTACATGCTCAAAATATTATTCAAGCAGTAACATTGAATATGAATGACATGGTAATGGTATAAGTGTTCTTACCTGTGTTGCAGTGAGGACGTTTTGGTCAGACGTTCGTGAGAAAAAATGGCAGAATTAGTGAATTAAGAAAACACTGGTGTCCCACTGACAATATTGTAATACAACATCATTAAAAAAAAAGTTCATAGGGTCGCTAAGAAACGTAAGTCGCGACCTCCCTCAGCGCCCCTGAAAACACTGAAAAGTGGGCACTAGAGTAGACAGCAGACTCTACACATAAAACACACGTTGTAACATTTTAAAAAGTGTACCGACTGCTAACCTTTGCTGTCCCCTGAGACTGGCTCCAGCAGAGGCGGTGACTCGCGGAGAGGAAGAGGAGAGGAAAGGAGTGGAAGAGGAGAGGGCTCCTTCAGGTGTCCTGCCGTCTTAAGGTGTTTACGTTGCCATGACACCGTCTCAAGCGAGCAAAGACGCACGCGGCGTTCAGCGCGAGACAAGCTTCGGATATACGACACCATAACTTCCTTAGTTTAATATGAACAACATGTTCTGTGTGAAAAAGAATTACATATTTCGGCAAACAGAAATATTGTCTGTGTCAGTGTGCATACGTCTTGAAATTGTGAATTTATTTAGGCTACGTCTTATTCATTTATGTTATTTTTAATTAATATTACTACTTTTGCTCTATTATTATTATTATCATTCATTAGTATGTTTTAATTATATTTTGAAATTATTGTTTAATACAAATTTCCATTTTTATTTGAAAAGGTATTGCAATACATTTTTCTCAATATGGCTAAGAAAATACAAAAATGTTACATTTAAAAATGTTCTTAAAAAGTGAAAAGAAACATGCCATGCAACGTCATGCCATTTCCAATACACCCCACTACTTTATAACTCCAATAATCATTGTTGATGTTTTTCTTCATTAAAATAGTCACAGATAGCTATATTAGGCAAGGTGATGTCTCCTGGCACTTACATGTGTCTAGACAAACTTGGAGGCAGACTGTTTATCCATCCTGGGTAAACCAATGATATGGGACATAGGCCGAGGGAAATTAATATACTTTTTTAGGTTTACTCTGTTGTTAATGTTTAAAGACATTCCTAATTGCAAACATGGTAGTAAAGGAGTGTCATTTTCTGTGCGACACTACAGTATAAGGTGCAGTATATTGTTTTAACTTGTTCCTAATGCGCTCGTGGACAGGTGCACCTTCAACATGTTGCGCACAGCCTGCAAGGCTCCTGCGGAGAATGCGATTAATGTTTGGGTATTAGCTGCGTAAAGGCAGGGCAGGGCTTGGCCAGATCATAACTTGGGGATTGTAGCTGCTCTCTTTCCTTTCGTTGACGAGTTGACAGGGGGGAGACCACATGGATTGGTGGACTTCGTTGGCAGCGATCACTGCCCTGCTGTGGATATTATGCTTTATAGACGGTAAGGGAAAATGTAGGTTAGGGGATATTTGGAAGCTCTTCAGGAAGCACCTATCTAGTACTTTATGGCGAAAACAGCTGTCATACATTCACAGTATCAGAAATAAGACTAGTTTTAAGCTACAAATATGTAACATTGCAGTTTTGCTAAGAATCCATCATAAAACGCGATTAAGGGTTTGCACACTGGGTTATGTTAGTGATGTTTCCCATTTTAGCATGATCAGAATAAACAGGACGTGTAGCAAAGCAAGACATAGCCTACTTCAAATGTAAATCAGGCCATGTTGCGTAGAGTAGGCTTAATCTAAGAAAGAAGGCCTTGTTAAATGAGTCTAAAACCTTGGTTTGCTTAAATTAAAAAGAATGTTTTGAGAGATATAAAATAATGTCATTTAGCAATTTTCACTGAAAGCTCTGCTGTTTTCATGACAATTTGTTCCAAGACATAAATATTGACAAAAGTGAAACTGCAACATACGGAATTATGTTAAAATCTCTATTCTAGATTAAACTATTTTATTTAAGAGTGGTCCCGTGTTGAGGGGCTCGTGGTGAAGCCCCGTGCCACCCACTTCGCGTGCTCAGGTGTTAGCCATGGCTGATGATCACTTTAATCCAGGGGCAGACGCTGTTTGTAATGGTTGCTGACATTAGCCAGGGTGTTAAATTAGACTCCAACTAACCCCGTTACCCTCTTATCTCCAGGCAACGCCGTGCTCGAGCTGCGGCTGCTGTTCCACGCGCTCACCAAAGCAGCATGTCACCTGTACCTGGCCCTCCTCCCGCTGCGCCGCGCCGCCACGCACTTCGCCGACTGCGCAAGATATATGGTGAACCACATCCAGCGGCCCACCCCCTCTCCCCTTGACGTTGGCCTGCTCCACCACGGCCAGCCGCTGGGCAGGAAGGGCACGCTGCACTTCCTGGAGGGATTGTGCGTGGTGTGCGAGACGATCCCTAACCTGATGGGCGCGGGGCTGAGCGTGGGCTCCGCTTTCTGCCACATGCTGCAGGGGGGGTTCTACGTGCTGGCGGCCACGCTGCATACCATCCAGGTCAACCTGTTCTCCCAAATGAACGGCGAGAAGGATAGATGGGACAAAGAACGGCACCGAGCCAAAGAGGGCGAGAAAAAGCTAAATTCAAGAGTGTTGGAGTACATCTCGGTGTTTTGTCAAGACCCCGTCAGCGCTTTACGCATCAAAGTTGACGTACCACCTGTGTATAGATAATCCATGTAAAACAGCATAATGGGGAATTTGCTAATACAATGCCTTTAACTGCTGAGGGGTTACAAGTACAGGCAGTGACAGGAGGTTGAACTTTGACCTCTGGTTATTGCTCGCTGTTGTTGGGGGTTTGTACAAACCGAAAATATATTAAAAGGAGAAGATCAAGAATGTATGGTGCATTTTGTTACATCTGTTTTACACTTATTGACATAAATAAAAACTAAATGTCTCAAACTAATCTGTGATGGGATATGGTTTTTAGATAATTTGTTCTTTAATGGTACGTTATTCATTATACAATCAAGTGTCATAAATCATACTCTGTCCTATGTCAACTAGCAGTATAAATCAGTCAAGTTATTTTAAAGTGCTCTATTCATTTTTTCCTCAATAATACATGGCAGCCTTTTCAATTAGCAATAGACAAAAACATAATAATACAATGCAACTGATTGAAATCAGTTTGAGTTCAGCATATTAAATCACAGGCATCACCTTTCTTCATCGAATAACACTGACAATGGCCATTTATCAAAATCTGCCATACAGTCAACTTTGGGTCACCCTATCAATGTAAGGAATTAAAACAAGGAAACAGAGATACTGAAGATTGGATCTGTTCCAATGGAGGCTAGAGTTTTGCTTCAGGTGTGGTGTGGAGCATCTGGGGGGGGATTTTCCCAGCTACAGTGAGAGAAGAAAGAGAAAGAAAATACATAATTTCCTCGGTTGGAGGGATAAACAAAACCAAGAACAAACACCAAATCTCATACATTGAAAGGACAGTCAGGACAAGATTTAAATACACAACTTTATCCCAAATTCCATCAAATACAAACTTGTATTTTCAAGTTAACTGACTTACAAAGTACGTCATCGATTCTTCTGACAGCTGCTTTATTGACTGTGTATTCATTCTGCTCAGACCTGCGGTGAGAAAACAAAAAGGGGAACTCTTAACTCTGGCATCAGAAATTCAGACGGCTTCTCAGGCACCTCAGAAAATGAGCTTAAAACCAAACAGATTTGCAGGAGCTAATCTCGTTACTCACGCCCTCGACTTTGTCACAGTGTCCAGTCTCTGCAGGGCCGACAACACGTTCTTGTGTGTGTCGGACGACAGTGCTTCGTAGGTGTGAAGTTCACCTGAAACTCAGAGAAAATGATAGAGAATTATTTGATGGACACAGCTGGAGATTGTTTGTAAAAGGTCAGAGGTCACTTTCTGTTTCACCTGAAAGGATGAGCTCTGTAGCCAGGTTTCGCACAGCAGTTAGGAACTGTTTCTCAGCGTACACGTGAGCTTCGTTTTCACAGAGGTACCTGAATATCACCTGGAAATGAAAGCACACCTGATCAATTAAAAAGACATACACCACATACTTTTAGACCAACATTGAATTTGAGTTAATGCCTAGATTAGTAACTTTTAACCAGTGCCCACTCTACTTTAGCAAAGATTGACAAGGTTGTACCAGTGAGACTTTCACTTCAAGGATCATCAAAGAAAACAACTAGTCATTTTTAGAAACATATTTAGTTTCCTTCAAATACAATCTCCAGTGTAAAGATGGGTGTAGTAACAATATACATTTAACACAAAATAAGCATTACATTTACTACTTTAATTGAATTAAAATATAATTTAATGAAACATTTACATTACACCAGAATGAAAGAGCAGGTTAAAAATACTTTCTGCAAATTGTATTTTAAAGATCTGTCATCAACTACTTCTACTTCTAATTAGTAAACAATGTATTTTTTATGTGAAATAAAGCACTCCTATTTTTTTCCCACACTACAAAGAGGACCATTGTATTATCTGACTTAGTTATGTTGTGTTAATCATTTATTTTTGTTACCTAAAGTATTCAACAACAACAAAACTGGAATCAGAATAAAAACAAGATCACCTGCTTAATGTTAACTACGAGTGACTAAAACCTCAGATTCCCAGAACATAAACAGAGGCCATGACCTCACTGTCCTCAGAGGCAGATACAGCCCTGTCTGTCTGGAGGCAAGAGTCAAAGCACCTGGTAGGAGTCGATGAAGGGTTGTAGCAGTGCCTGCAGGAAGGACAACACCTCCAGCCCGGCGTCTGACACCGTCACTTCCTGTTCACTGACGTGGACTGCTCCACATTTTTTCAGGAGGAAGCACGCCTCCTCAAAGTCCTGATCAATGGAGGGATAGAATCAACACGCAGAAACACACAATATCAATACAAAAAAAAAAAATCCTATATTTTTGTCTTTTACACTGAAAACGTTCTGGATTAGTTTTTTTTTAAAGTGTATAAACTCATATAAACTGTTAACAATTAGCTAACAATACTTGAAGCTCTCGAACAGCTACTAAATCACTTCCATTGCTAGCCAAAACACACTCCTCTACCTGACCTGGGACTCTGC